ACACACACACAAACACACAAACACACACACACAAATGAATACACACACAAGCGAACTTGAACACGAACACGAACACGAACACGAACACGAACACGAACACGAACACGAACACGAACACGAACGCAAACGCGAACGCGAACGCGAACGCGAACGCGGACGCGGACGCGGACGCGAACGCGAACGCGAACGCGAACGCGAACGCGAACGCGAGCGCGAACGCGAACACGAACACGAACACGAACACCAACCCGAACACGAACACGAACACGAACACGAACCCGAACACGAACACGAACACGAACACGAACACGAACACACAAACACACAAACACACAAACTCACACACACACACAAATAAGTACACACACACACACCACACACACAAACACTCAAACTCACAAACAAACCCACAAGCACCACAAAGACAGCAGCACACAACCACACGAATACGCACACACGCAAACACGCGAACAGGCAAGCATGCAAAGACGCAACTATGACCGGAAAGGCCAAGCACGCAAACACGCCAACATGCAAAAACGCAAACACGCACAACACATGCCAAGCACGCAAACTTGCCAAACACACCACACATGCCAAACACGCCAAGCACGCAACAGGCAACCACAAAGACACAGTGTGACACACACACACACATACACACACACACATACCCGTTTGGGATTTTTGGCTCATGAGAGTCACTGAGTCTCTAACACTATTTTGACAGCATTTTCGGGTAGTGTGCTGACCCAAGTACCGAAGCCAGGGGAACTATGGCTCCCAGCAAACAGGGACCCTCACAGGTGGGTTCTGGCTCGTTACCCAGAAGGCTTTTCTGGGAGAGTGAATCGGCTGGGGTTCCATTCGCTGAGGCTGCGAAAGGGCCGGGGCTTTTGTATGGCCCGGACCTGAGACCTCGTAGCTGATAGCCGGTGCCACCGGCCGAAGTGGTGATAGTCGGTGCGGAGATTGGTGCGGATCTTCGCCCTGAGTCTTTACCATGTTTTTTCTTGGTTTTGCATTATTACACCAGGTTTTGATTGCTCACCTGAGATATGGGTATGGGTCAAATGAAACCACCAGAGGACTGTTGGTTTTAGTTTCCGTTTACCAGGGTTCCATTTTGGGTACCTATTTTCGACCCACATCCATAAACTCACCAGGCGTTTTTGGTTGGAGTCAAAACTGGGGGCCCGTGTTGCGGGGCTGCCCTCTGCCCTTTGCCCCGGGCATTTTGGTACCCGGAGCTCCTCAAGTGGGGCAGGTCGCTCGCTCGGAGCTCGGGGCAGGTCGCTTGTGTCCTGGAGTCAGAGGAGCGCGATGCAGAGGCGAGGCCCCGGGAACCGGCGTCGTTTCTGGCGGCCTGCGGCGCAAATGAAAGCGCCAGGGGGACGCAGGTTGAGCCTTGGGAAACCAACGTTACCAAGGGAATCAATGAATCCTACCTTGGCTTTTGAGCCAAAGGGAAACAATTGTACCCTTGGTAATGGGTTTAGTCTTTTTTCCATTTACCAGAAGGCCACGTTGGGGATTCAGTTTTTTGAGCAACAGCCACCTTGTAGCATGCCAGATTTCCAAACACGGCGCCTAGCGCGCGATCCTTCTGACAAAATCCACTGTTCGTTGGGTTTATCCGGGTAGGGGGCGCAGGAATTTGTCCACAGTAGATCCCCATGCACATGGTATCACAGGAATATTCCCACAGCAAAAGTTCATTTCATTCTAAGTGTTCATAGCCAAGTGGACGCAAGATCACTCTGCTGTCTCATTGCTTCTGTAACTTGGGCCAGTCATTCAACAACTGATGGCATGTCCACATGCTCTGTACATAGCAGCAGTTAGCACCAGAACTTCCCAATTGGATACATCCATTGTTCTCCCAAACCTCGCCTTTTTTTGTCCTCTCTCTTGTCCGGAGTTCGGCTCCTTATGCTTCGCAGACAGAGAGAGAGAGAGATGGAGCGTTTGGAAGTTGGAATGCACTGGAGGGTAAGCCGTTAACCACTTGGTACACTTACCTCTAGATCCTGTCGATCTGCGAGGCCCAAATGCAAGCATCCAAGGAGAGGCAGATCATAAAGGCACGGCCCAGTCGGTGTTTTCCCCATTTCAGGGACCGGTTTTGGTTTCCCTCAAACAGTGGGTCGTGTTTGTTCAGGGACCCGCGGCAGCTTGCTGTGAAGCTTCAACAGGGGAACCACACGCCAAGCTTGTTCAGGATGGACGGCCCGACCCTCTCTCTGCCAGACAGGTTTTCTGGAGCATTCTCAGAACCTGAGCATCAGATAAGGCCCCCAGGAACCGAACTCGACGTTGAGGGGTTCTCGGATTTGGTTACCAACATTTGGAGGTAGTGGAGCTCTGTTTCTGACATGCCCGCCCACCTTGAATGCTATCGGGAGATCTTCAACCTTCAACTGGTTGGTTGGATCATAAATCTCCCTGAAAGCAGTAACGACTTTTTGGGAGGAGCCTTCTTTGCATGTGGGTGGGTGGGTTGTCCAACAATGGACATCTTCTTGGACCCATTTTGAATCAAAGGCGGGCCCCACATAAACCATGGCCCAAAAGGGTACCCTCCCCGCAACAATCACGGAAGGCTGAACGGAGGGTTTTGGAAGACCACTTTCCTTTTGGGGACCCCGTAGGGTACCCATTTGGCTGCGGCTCAAAAAACCAGTACAAAACTGGCACCCTGGTATATAAGTGGAAACATGGACCAAAACCTGCGGTTTACCCCTCCGGTTTAATTTTGAGCCACTCCCATTTGTGACAACCCCCCTGCAGCCACGGCGTGTGGCAAGGACATCATGGCCAACGAGGGCATCGAGGGGTTTGCCGAGGTGGTGGTTGCTCCCAGCATGGCCGAAGGCTGCGGGGGCTCGCTGCAAGAAAGGGCCCTTTTTGTTTTTTGTTGTTTTTGGGCAATGTGTTGAATTGAATTGTGTGATTCTTTTTTTTGATTTCGGGGCGTTTTGTGGGTTGGCCAAGAAGGAAAGGACCCGCGAGTTGAATCCTTTTCCATGTGAGGAGCCAACTACATCATTCAGCTCACCGGCATCGGCGGCCTGGTTCCCAACACCGTCCTCATGGATTGGCCAGAGGCGCGGGTTCGGTCCGAGGCAGCGCGAGAGCGAGAGAGAGAGAGAGAGATGGCTCAGGACGAGCACGGCAGCCAGGATTTTGCCGCTTGGCGGCTGAACCGGGGAATAATATTGCGACGCAACCGGGGCAAAGGGGCCTGAGTTGTTTTTGTTCATGTGATGAGGTGAAGATTCTGAGCCACGCCAACACGGCCGACAAGGCCCTTTAAAGCGAAGTGGGCAAATTCTGCTCTTGGCAAGTGCGGAGATCCACGGTGAGTCGACCAATGCGAGGCTGTTCTGGCAGTGAAAGGCCTCCGGCAGATGCCGCTCACGGATATCAAAGGCGCCGTCGCCTCCCCGTGACTCGCTCGAAGCGCGAAGCGCGTTTTGTTTTCGTCGGTTGGCAGGGCCCCGGAGCACCATCGATGTCTGGTGGATGATCCATGACGGCGGGTTCCTGATCCTCTTGTCCTGGCTCCTGACGCAGTGCCTTGGCCTTGATTTGGTCAGAGGGGCCGAACATGTCTCACCCTTTTGGGATCCAAAACCACGCGTCACCCCATGGAATGTGTTTTTTCTGCCTGAAGGTGGCAAGTACACATCACCCCATAGGAGGATATATATTTTTTGGTGCCTTAGGGGTCTCTCCCAAAAGCTTCCGGTGAGTTGCTGGAGTTGCCACAGGCACCGGAACTGGAGGCAGAGCCAGATCCGAGTCTTCACGCTGGCCGAGGCGGTGACGGAGGCCCCGGTTAAGTTGAAATGGAACTTAAGCGGTGAAACGCTGGAAATCCTGGAACCCAACGAGACTGGAGAAATGGCGTATTTTGTTGGTTCCACGTCAACAAGTGGAGCAAAGGATGGTCCCAAGCCGGATTTGTGTTGGGTACTGCTGGTAGGAGTTGAACGAACCTCGTTCTGCGGAGAGTTCCAGATTGCAGAGCCTTCTGCGTGGGCCACAGGAAAAGGCCAAAGCTGCTGGGGAGTTCTTGTCGAGGACTGCGAGAGCTTTAAGGCATTGGTATGGAAAACGCTCACATGTTCCAGCTTCGGAAGGGACATCATGCACGGAAGGGTCTAGGCAGGGGGCCAACCACTTGAAACATGTGGCTGTGGTTGTCAAAACCAATGGTACCATTTGGGGTAGGTGAATTCACCACCTATGTTTTGTCTATCTTAGTGGGGATTGGGAGGTTCACTGGGGGTACGATTCGGATGTCGACCCAAATCGCCATGCCTCAATTCTTGTCTTGGACGCATTTGGCCCAGGTCTTTGGGCCAAACGCGGGGGCTGTTCGGCCACCGAAGAAATCCTTCGGTCAGGACTCTGCGCGAAAGGCGGCTCTTCGACGTGGACGTGGAGGTCATCCTGGCGGATGACGCCATGATCGAGCCCGGGCACCTGGGGGTGTCTCCGATGGTCGGTTTCCTTTTGGCTTCCTGTTTAAAATCAACCAGAAGAGGGTGTGCCATTTGGACACACAGACACAACAAACACACACACAGACAACAACAGACATACACATGTTGGACCCTTTGGGATGATTTACCAAAGGAAGCCAGGCATTTGTAGTTTGGACATCTTGTAGGACGCAACCGCCCCATGGGACCAAATCAAGCGGTCGGCCACTCGAGGCCGTACACCTACGACTGGACCTGGCGAGTCGAGGATGGGTGTCGTTTTTGGGGGTACCCCTGTTTTGTGGGTTTAGATGGAAAACCAAATGCAACAGCGGCCATTTTGGGGGTCCGTGGGGGTCCCCTAGAAAAGGACGCATGCATCAACAGGAGACCGAGTTTTTCGGGGCCCCCTGTTTCAACGGACCATGTTGTACTGTTTTAAAGGGACACCAACTAGAGGGGTCCCCAATTTTGAGAAAGACCCAAATGGAGCTGGCCATGACACGAGGAATGCGCAAAAAATGGGGGGGGGGGGGTTGTCCAAAATGGCGTGTCAACCTTGGACCCTTTTGAGAAGTGACTGGAACAAGTTCCTCAACGAGACGGTGCCATCCTTGCCAGGGCCGGCACAACTTTCTGTCGTCGCGAGGGCAGGCTGCCGTGCCTTGGTCGTGACTTGTGGATGATGGTGGCTCCTTACACTTCGAAGCAAAGACGCCAGTCTTTGAATCCAATGAGACTTGTTGCCACAAAATTGCAATGGAATTTCAGACCGGGGAGGCACACTGGGGTGTCTTGATGCTTGGGATGCTCCAAAAATAGCGGTTTCCTTTTGGGTTCCCTTGAACACGTTAAGAAATATGAAAGACAGACCCACGTGAATCCGAGGCGGAGTCGATCCCTTTGGAGATCGATGACCTCTTTGTAGTGGACGAGGATCGTGCGTCTCAAAGCCCTCTGCCTGCGCGCAGCGTGCGCACCGTGGACTGTGCCTTGGAGAATCGGGGCGAGGTTTGGGGTGGGTGGCTGAATGGGTGTTGGTCTTAAACCGGGGACGACAGGTTTTAGTCCGTGTGTTTATCTACCAGGTTCCATTCTCGATACCAATTCTTGACCCACAGCGAACAAGCACCAGGTTTCTGGCAATAAACATGGAACATAAGGCAAACTGACGCCAAAGAGTGGGTCTGAGGCTGCCTTTCCGGGAGTTGGATGTGAACGGAAGGTCACATGCTCACAGCTCTCGGAGATTTTGAACGCCATGAATGCAGAAATAGTCATCGCTGGTCTGACTCATTGGACCTGGGCATCTTGCTCCGTTTCGCGCGCGCGCGCCTGCCTCTTTTAGGCGAGAACGAGGTTCCGGAGGGCACTGGCAACGTGGTGGTCAGTGACTGCCGGGAGGATCGGTTCAGGCAGCACAGCCACGTGATGCGGCCCCATCAGAGCTATCCCACTCCGCCGCAGCCTTTCCAAGGCCGAGCTCTTTTCCTTCTTCGGGTCAGCGGGGTCACGGGTCTGGACCTGCTCGGTGTTTTCCTGCTCAGTCTGGGGGTGCCGTTTTGTTTTTTTGGCCTGGCCGCCAAGCATGGAGATTGGCAGAGTGCCTTGAGCATTGCCTTTTTAAATGCAAACAAGAAAGAGGTTGAGAACCAAAGCAGAGCAGGGTTGTTGTTGGGAAACATGTTACATTTTTGCTTATTGTGGTTTAGTGGGACATCCCCCCATGAACTTCAAAAAATCACATTGTGGCTCGTCAACCAAGCGAAAGGATCCCGTACCGGGGCCCGTGGGGCTAAAGCTTCCGGTAAGAACCGGAAGACTTGGCAGGCCACCGCCCGCGCGGAAAGCCGGACTTCACGGATTTGGACTCCTGCACGCGGCTCAACCAGGCGGGCTCGCCCGGAATGGCCATGTAAGACACCCACAAGACGAGCCCACCTCCCCAAAAGGGGCCAATTGAAAGGCATTTGGAGGTGGACCCTTGTGGAGGTTCTGTGTCCTTTTTTCCCAAACAGCTTAGCTGTTGGGGTTTTCTATTGATGCAAAGAATTGCTCCCAGTTTCGAGATGGTTTATCCCTCGTACCCCTGCTATGTCCCCCTCCCCAGTTGTCTCCCCACTTGTTTTCCCACTTGCCTCCGGTCGATTGGGCCTTCACTCATCTTGTCACGGCTTGTCTCTTCAGTTGGCTCTCCGCCCCTTGTTGCTCCTCTTGTGCTCCTCCCTCCTTGTGTCCTGCTTGCGTCGGGTGACTTGGACATTTTTGGGCATTTGCCCGGCGCTCAACTCGCTTCTTAATGTCGACACTCTTGCGCCGTTGGTCTATGACATGGAGAACACAGCAGTGACAAGACTTGACGACACGGCAATGCCTGTTGACTCAGTTTGACTTGGCCCAGACATGGTCTCCGGGTGTTAGCCATTTGGGACCCATTGAAATGAGCTGATGCGCGCTGGGGTCGATGCCGGGTTGTCTATTTATCCATTTTTTTTTGGGTGGGTGCGTGGTGGGTAGGGACTGTGCTTTTGTAGCGTGAAAGGGAATCAATAGGTGAGCGCGCATTAGCCCCATTGCTCTTCGGGTGGAACATGGGTATAGGAGTCTTCCGAGGTTTGGATGTGGCCAAATAAACAAACAGCTTGAGATCATGATTTTTTCACCACGCTGGCCAACATGTGTGTGTGTCATATCTATTTCTCGTAGCCTTTGTTGGGATTGGTTCTTCCGGGAAGCCCGGAAGGGTATCACCATCCATGCTTGAAGAAATCGAGGGGTTTTGTTCGCCCAAAAGGGGGGAAGCGCCGAGGACAGGGGGGAATCCCCACCAAAGACGTCTCTGGTAGGGGGATCTTCAGCTCTTGGGTGGTTCCCAAAAGCCCCAGCCAAAAAATGGCAACGCTGAGGTGGTGCTGTCGCGCTCCAGCCAGGCCGAGCTGGTGGTCATGACTCTCGGTCCGTGCAGCTTTTATCTTTGGATTTGGGGGACCTTTTTCTGTTTTCCTTTACTTTGGTGCATTTTGCTTGGATGTTAGGACTTTAACTATTTGCCAACTAATGGGTTTTCCATTACACCACCAAAAGTTAAACTTAGCAGGGGAGCAGAAAGCAACGGAGTTTAAGATTCCCCGAACACGGGTCTCGAAAAACGAGACAGACCCACATTGGGTGTGTTGGACATGCGTGACGAGTGAGGAATCTGCCGCAGCAGTGGGGCACAGAGTCCCCGCAAGCGCGCGCCTTCATGACCTACTGCAATGCTCTCACTGAAGGCAGGGATTCAAATGATTCAGCATTCTCCTTTCCATTTGCCAGCAAATTCATGGATCCGGAAGAGAACAAAAAGAACCAATCCCAAGAAACACTGCCCAATTAATTACTCTTGCTGGGTGGACCAGCGGGGAAAGGGACAGCTAAAAGCTGCTTGCGTCGCTAGGCCTCAAGCACGTCGTCTTTGTGCATTCCAGTGGCCACGAGGTGTTCGATTTGTCCAACTGACCAAATGAGCCCGGAACTGAGGCTCAGAGACCGCCAAAAAAGAGAGAGAGAGAGAGAGAGAGAGAGAGAGAGAGAGAGAGAGAGAGAGAGGGGGAGAGAGAGAGAGAGAGAGAGACTCCAAACTGGCAATTGGGCCTCAGAAATGACCCAAGGATGGTATTCTGAGGTCAGAGCGGAAAGGAGAGGCATCCCACAGGGAAAGCCGCGGAATGACTTTGCTTTTGCTGTTGCATCCCCGTCCCTCAGCGCAAGCGACGGGAATTCGTCCATATACAGTCGGACCGAAGTGCAAGGCAGGTGGAACAGCTTGTCTCAACTGGAGCAAAGAAAGGACACAGAATTGGGCAAATCCACTTACCAAATCTATCAGGAAGTTGGATTTTCTGGACAGCAGCACAGTTTTTGTCTTTTCGGGCCGAAACCTGGCTGTGGGTCAAGACTTTTACGGCTTGAAGACAAAGGGAATCGTTTTAAGGGCATCACAGTCTTGGAAAACAACACCCCATGTAGGATGCAAAACGGGAACTTTCCCAGGAGGTAGGCCATGGCCATGTCCAGGTGTGAGACGCTGTGCAGCCGCTTTGCATATTCGCGTGGCTCCACTTTGCCCTCTCCAACAGGGCAACCGGTATTTTGTTTGAACAAAACTGTGTCTCTATTTGCTTCAGTGAGCCGCTTTTCGGATTTGTTGCTTCAGTCTTGCTCATATGTCTTCTTAGTTTCGATTTGCTTTTACCGCCCGGGGTCCCAAGCCGGCAAGCGCGCCGCGCCGCACGGTCACGGGATCGGGAGGAGGTTCGCGCAAGGCGCCCTTTGCACGCCTTCACGGCTGGTTTGCTCCTCGCAATTTTGCTCCAGCGACCGCTGGATTGCAAAGCCCCATTGTTTTCCCTTGAGACGGCGTCCATGCCTGTCCCGCCATTGGCTTGAGACCATGGCCGCCGTCTCTTCGTTCTGGGCTTGCTCATGCCGCCGCGGCATAGGGCTGCCGGCTTTGGCCTCCGGCGAGCTTTCAAGGCTGGGGCAATCTGGGCGCACACAAGTTGCGCGACTCTCGGAATCAATACAAGCGTGCTCGCACGTTCTGCCCCTCAGCTGCCGACGTCAGCCCTCTGTCTCAGACAGAGTTGCATGGAATTCGGTTTCCAGGCGCTCGCCTGGTATTCAGGCACCGAGGCTGAATGCCAGGCTGGGAGGTCTTCACTTCCAAGGCGTCTGTAAATACCGACTCTGCTCACAGCGCGGAGACCCGGACCTCAGACGTGCAGGCCCTTTAGGTATCGACGCGACAGCTGAGTGGGCGCAGACCCGCGATATGCTAAGGAAGTGAATCCCCAAAAAGGTTTGTGCAGCGGTCGATTTTGACATGGGTGTGGCCGTTTTTCAGGGGACTCCCCCAAAAGAAATTGTGGTTTTCCTTTTGGTTCCCCCTTAAAACCAGCCAACAAAACAGTCCCTGAAGAAAGGCACACCCACATGAGGGTCTGTAATGATCGACGTGGTTTCCTCCAACAGGGCACATGTGGGTATGGGTCAAAATAAAACCACCAGGGGACCACAGGTTTGGGTCCATGCTTCCACAAGGGTTCCATTTTGGGGTTACCAACTATTTTTGACACCCACAGCCATGTGAGAATGGGCGGTGGGGAGCTGATATTGACCTTGACAAATTGTCTCGTCGCCGTGTGTCAGTTGTGTGTCAGGCCGAGGAGTGGTTTCAGCGGACGCAGCACGGCGCCCTGCACCCTGAGCTGGCGTCGCTCAGGCCGTTCCCCAGATTCCCGGTGGGGGGTTCATGGGTGCGGATGGGTGCCGCTTACCTGCTCCTCCCCTTCTCTTTTTGTTGGGGTTAAAGATGGTAAGCAAAAGGAGTTGCCAGCCGTTGTTGGAACCGAAACGATTTTGGCCTTGGGCGCTGGCCACAATCACTTCTTTATATGAGGGGTGTCCCCTTGCAGAGTATGCAGAGGCGGGTCATTGGAGGAACAGACAAATACGGCAATGGATGTAAATTATCTCTCTCTCTCTCTCTCTATGTATATATATATATATATCTGAAATATTATATATAATAATAATGATAAAACTAATCGCAACAATAAAACTCATTTCAACCTGAACTCCTCCCTGTGCGAAACACCCACGTCTTTTTGATCACCGCCAGACTGTCGAGGCCGCAGCGGTCCACCTATGATGTGATGATCCAAGGCGCGGCCAAGGCGCGGCGCGGCCCGTCCAGTTGGGGCGGTGGAAAGCCAAGTGGCTGTGGGTCAAAAATGGGTATCCATTTTGGAACCCTAGTAAATGGAACCAAGGACGAACACTTGCGGTCCCCTGGTGCTTTAATTGTGACCCATACCCAAGTGAGTCATAGGACACAATTGTTCGCGGGTATTTACATTGGGGTTTCTTAGGTGGTGCGAAATGGATTTTGTCCATCCACAGTTGGCAGGGCTCCGGGTAGACTTAAACCCAGCGGGGGAGAATGTCCACTTTAAAGTGGTCAAGAAAGGAACCCTGCAGGGTGGAATTTGTCCAGTTGGTCGTGGTCAACCCGGGAATTCAGAGATTGACAGTAAGGGAACCATGAGCACACTCGCTGAAAAACCCTGAGGTACTTTCAGGGAACGCATTTAAACAAATATGACCAGGGCTCATAAGTCGGGCTTTGGAGCGCGGGTGTTCTTGCCTCTGCCAAATCTAGACGCAAAGCCCCACGCCTCAAGGCACTTTCCGGGGAATTGTTGGGCCTGGCTTTCGGTGAGGGTTTTGGTCACCAGGTCCGGGAACACGGGACTCCCAAAACGTCCCAAAGGCATGGGACGATTCCCAGAAGAAACCGCCCGGCGACTCCGGCGCCAGGTTGGAAGATAGGTGAATTCACCACCCATTTTAGGCTTCCTATTTTAGTGGTTGGATTGGGATGTTCACTAGGGGTACGATTTGGGTTTTGACCCATGGCCATTTGGGGACACGGGCTCACTCCCAGAAAACCCAGAGTGAGCCCGACTTCTCCCCGGAGCCGCCGGCGTTTTGGCGCCGAAGCCCACCCGAAACCGGAGGCCGGGGACATGGTGCGGGCGGAGCGCTACCTGATAGAACTGCTGGAGCGCGGGAGGGAGCGGCCCCACAGCGCGGGTCTCGAGCGAACGCCGCGAGCGAGTCGAACGAGGCGTTCGCTTGGGGTTAGTGTTGACCCCAAGAGGGGGTGTCCCTGGGTGAAATGTGGGAAATCAGACCCACTTTTGGAGAGGAACACCCCTCGATGGTTCTTGACGTGGAGAAAGTTACCAACTGGGGGCCCGAGAGCGAGTATTGATCAAGTCCCGTCAAAATTCCTCCACCAGGAATTGGACCGGACATGTTTCAGTCCATGGTTCCATCTACTAGGGCAAGCCATTTTGGGGTTACCCCATTTTTGACCCGCCGCCGTCTGTCTGGGTCAGTGTTTGGTGACATTTGCATGTTTGCGCTGAGGAAAAACAGTTGATACCACACAAAACTTACAAATCCTAGATGTTGAGTTGTCCAAAGAACACTGCAGATGTAGGGAATTCTCCCTTTTGGCCCCATGTTGCGTTCCATGTTTATTTGCAATGGTTGTGGACAGTCCCATCAATAAGCCGTTTTAGGTGGCATCATAGCTCCTTCTTTGCCTTTTTTGCCCCCCTTCCAAGCCTTTCTTTTTGACGCACGTTGGCTACTGGCTTTGCATCAAACGCTGGAACCCACGTGTTAAAAAGAGCTGGACCCCTTGGGCAAAAAGGTACTGGAGCCACGAAGCCGTTTGGTTGGGCCCCTTTCACCAAAATCGATCTCGTGGTCTTCAAGAGGCAGGGGATTTGTTGGCCGGGGTCTCTGGATGGGCTGAGGCATCTCTTTCAAAGAAGTCCTGCGCTCAAGTCTTGCCGCCGTTTTTTTTCAAAGATGGCGCGCGAGAGTCGGTTGAGTGTGCCTTCTTTTTGGCGGACCTCCAAATTATGGTTTCCTGTCCTTTTGGTTTCCCTTTGAGGCTACAAAAAAGGAGACCCTCAAAAAGACAAGCCCGGTTGACGTTCGCTTCACACTTTGTTTCTACGATGGACCTTTGATTTATATCTCAGTCATTGACCAGGAGAGTTTATTACGAGTCCACATGGGTGTGTGCCCGTTATCTGAGGGTACCGTTTCAGGGGCACATTTTGGGAGGTTCCAGAGCACGCTCGAGAATGGTTGATGTTGCTAAATCCCCATGTAAAATTCGTGAGTCAAAGGGTTCCCAATTGAAATTCATGATTTTCAGACTGTAGCTCGTATGCGTATGTGTCAAACGAAGGATTATTTATTTTGTAAAGGGTGCCCTTTTTTGTTGGTGGTGTTTCGGGGAAACCTCAAGGAAATCACTCGTTGGTCAGGCCCCCCCCCAGTTGGTGGTTCGGATTTTTCTGCGGATTCGAAGGGGAAGCCACTGCTTGCCCACCACGCCAGCAATCTGAACCACGAATTGGAGGGAAGCTGAGCTGGGAGAACCTCAACAAACACCACAAGATGGGCCTGTCCTTCTCTTTTTGGGGGGGGACCCCCCAAAAAAAACGGCCGGGCGCTCCTTTTGGGGCGACCAACGCCCAGACGCTCCAAGCGCGAGGTGATCCAAGCGCTCCTGCGGGCCAAAGAGCCCAAGCGAGCGCATCACTGGCTCAAGGACGGCATGGCAAAAGCCGAGCGAAGGACGAAGAGGTCTGGGGGGTACCTTCCATTTCCATTCTTTCCAGGGATCCATCTTTCTTTCTAAGAATTCCAGGGATCTATCTTTCTTAGGAAGAATTCTAGGGGTTGATTCCCCTGACTTTCGCTTCGAGAGTTTGTGTGTCGCGCATGCCGCGACCCTTGGCTAAAACCGATCGCCAATTCCCCGGGGGTTTTGGTGGTTTTCTAGAAAGAAGGATCCCTGGAAAGAATGGAAATGGAAGTTATCCCTAGAAGAATGAAGGGGAGACCTTCGGGTTGATCTTTTTTCCGTTCAAACCCCAAATGACCAAGGGTAACTTTCTTTGTGGTTTTGTTCCATGGTCATCCCATTTGAAGCACCTTTGGATCAACCCTGGCCCTCTTGGTTCCCCTTTTGAACCAACCTGAAAAGGGTTCCAAGTCTCAGACAACACGCGGACACACCTCCAGGACTTGGTGAGCAACGGCTGCTCCACGTGGGCGAACTATGCCCCGGATGCCACCGCCCTACCACGATCCGTTCATCCGACTGGTGGCTGAAAGCTGGTTTTCTGGGGTTATTATTTTTCTCAACTGGTTCTTATTTTGCTGGGGTTTTACTGGTTTTTACTCAACTGGGGGTGTTTCCCTTCCGCCAGTCATGGAATGGATGACTGGACAGGATGGGAGCAGTTGAAGGACCAGTCAACGGAAGGGGCAGACAGCCATTTCAGGTGGTGAGGCAGCGCAGCCATGAGCTACGACACAACCGGGGCAATGTGGAGGCTGCGGTCTTGGGGTGGGTGGGTGGGCGTAGTGTGAGCGTGGAAACGGAGAATTACCAAGAATAGTTTGTTTGTGCCGAATCCTCATTTTAGGCACACCCAAGTTTTGCGCTCGAGAGTTGGCAACGCAATGATACGAGGTCTCATTTGAGTGTATGTCAAAATTGGGTCCCCTCCCTCCCCCAAAAATCCTAGTTTCCCATTGAATTCAAAAAACAGCAGCAGCGCAGCAGCAGCAGCAGCAGCAGCAGCAGCAGCAGCAGCAGCAGCAACAACAACAACAACAACAACAACACGAGCAGATGACATGCTTCCCCCCCCCCCCCTCACAGAGCGCCCACGCTGGTTTTGTCAGTGACTCATGGGGCATGTACCGAAACCAGTTGGACCAGTTGGGCCCTTCCAACACGGTTATCATTCTGGTTTCCTGACAGCATCACCTGTCGCACAGGAGCTGGCTGGCGCGCGAGTTGAGTGGTTCACTGGTGGTGTTTGAGTAGGAGCTCGCCAGCATGGTTTGGTTTACAAGTTCCTCGGTATGGAGGTATGTGAAATTACGGGCACCCTCCCAAAATTGTTGTTTTCCCTTTGGCCCCCCTTTAAACCAACCTGCCAAGGGTGCCGAGCCTCAAACAGTCACACACCCCAAATTCCAACTTTGGGGCCAGTGGACACATCAGCAGCTGGCATACTTTTGGTACTAGTGGTCGATTTGGAGGATGAGAAGGGTGGGGGGCACCCATGTATTAACCCATGTATCAACCCATGGGTCCCCCCCAACCGAGGGTTTCTTGTGCTTCCCTTTGAACCACCAAAGTGGTGCCCTCAAGAAGACACGCACACACACACACACAAACGTCCCGTCCGGGTCCCGTATTCAAATTCTCCAAAGTCCTAAATGTGTCAAGCCCATGGATGTGTGGTTTAAACTGAACTCGCATTTTCACACGGTTGATGATCTCCACCTATCTTGGCGTTTTTTTGGGGGTACTTGTTTTTTTTGGTGATTTTATTGTGTCAAAGGGGAGCCCGAGGGAAAAAAGGGAAACAAACATCAAATCCAACCGCAAACCAACTAAGATTGACTCACAATACACCATGGATATACTTGGATGTCAGCAGCAAAAACGGATACAGTGCCACCAGCCGAAATGGAAGTGCACAGACCCCTGTACAAAGACTTTCCTCTTGGAAGCCCATAGGTTTCCCATGACCCGAGGAGCACCTGGAGCTGGTCCAGGAGGTGGTCAAAGGCCTGGCGGCCGCTCAGAACACCGCCCGGGCCTTTGTGAGCTGTTCAGTTGGAGACCTTGTCCTGTTCTTTTCGGGGGACCGCTTTTTCTTCTTGCGAGAAGCCAAGAGGAACTTTTTTTTTGGGGGGGGGGTCGGTTTTTTCTTTGGTTTTAAAGAGAAGCCAAAAGGAAAGCCGGTGCGGCCTTTTCCTTTTTTGGGCATTTTTCAGGTGGACCTATTGATTTGGCTCGTCTTGTTTTGAGTCTACCCAGCAGAAAGAAACTGGGTGAACATGGATGTTTGGCACCCCTTGTGGTCGCTAAGGGAAAACACCAGGAACACCGCGCCCCTGTGGGGGAAGATACCCCCCCACTTGGGTGGTCAAACTGCCCCTGAAATGTCGGCTTCCTTGTCCCTTTGAAGTCTGAGAAGCGGCCAGTGCCTGGCATCCCTCGAAGGAAGCCACGAGGGCGTGGGCTTTTTTTTGGGGGAACCGCTCCTGGCTCTTGGTTGTTTTGAGCTGGCATGGGCTCAAGCGAGAGGCTCATGGGCTTGGTCAATGCAAGCTTCCGCTTGGAAGGTCATGGGACGTTGGGACAGCCGCAAGCGACCCGCAGAATGTTGGAAGAAGGACACGGGTTGTTACCCATGGAATGGTGGAAGGACCAAATCATGGAATGGTGGAAGGACCAAATCATGGAATGGTGGAAGGACAAATCATTGAATGGTGGAAGGACATGAAAGACGAGCAGCACTGGTTTCTTTTGAGCCAAAGCGACGTTGAGTCGAGCTTGGCACCTTCGCAAGGGAGCTGCGAAGCTTTTCGGCCGATGCCATGCTTGGAGTCCCGACCATCCATGAGTCCCCGGAGGACTTGGTGTTTTGTCTCAATTCCAGCTATGGTCCATTAGGTGTGTCCTTTTTGAGGGCACCCCTTTCTGTCCGGTTTTAAATGGAAACCAAGAAGAAAGCAACTTTCTTAGGCCCATTTGGGTCATGGGGGACTTGCTCAATTTCTTTTGCCAAAGCCAGAGACCATTTTGAGGGGCCCGCTTTCCAAAAACAAATTCGGGTGGTAGGGATTTGGATCCGAAAAGATGCTGGCGCATCGCAGGAGAGCTCGACTCAGAGCGAAACCTCGGGCTGGCGCAGATGCTTTGCAGGTCCAATGTGGGTTCAAAGCAATCAAACCCTGGGTTGAAGGTTAGATAGTTGAACCACAAATTGGTGTGGATATGGCCATTTTGATTGGTCTGTTGATTCTTTAGATTCTTATGGGTTTTGGATACAGCCTAGTTTCAGGTTTTGATTATGACTAGGAGCCTGTTGGCTCTGTCCAGCGGGTTCCTTTTGGGGCCTGGAAGATTTCCCTCTTTCCCCTCCAAACATCATCTGTTCAAAGGGACATGTGCCCTTCAGATGATGCAATCCCCCCCCCAAAAAAAAACAAAAACAAAAACAAACAACAACAAAAGCGGGGGGGGGGGGCCCTAGTGGCTTGTTCAGCCTTCCGAGTGACCCGAAACCCGAAGGTCTGCTCGGCTGCGGATGCCTGGGCAAGCTCAAAGTGGGCAAGCTGCACATGCAGCGCAAGGTCAGCGTACTCTTCCAGGCTCGCTCGATGTGTTCTCTTTGCCATTTGCGCACCGAACGGCTTGGCTTCCTTTGCATTTCTTTTCCTTCCCCCAAAAAGGAAATGGTAGACTCGCTCGCAAAAGCCGAAAGGGTAGCTCACAACAGACACCCATGTGACTTGAGCAAGCCGGTTTGCCGCTGGATTCGCGGCCAGGAGGAGGCCAAGGCAGGGGTTGCGTGAGGGGTGCAGAATGGATCTTGCTGGCTTCACTTGCGCTCAGGCTGCACGTGCGTCATTGTTTGCTCCAAAGCGGCTCCTGCTGCAAGTGAGCACTACTTTTGCCACAAAGTACTTGGTGTCAGGGATTCCTCAGCTTTTGGTTGAGGCCTAGCTTTCAAGTTCGCAGAATCAAGAGGGGCTTTGGGAACGACTCGTTCGGAATCCCCACAAGCCACCAGGATGGTTCAGTTCGGGAGTTGTCCCAGGACCCGCAGGTCTTTTGTCGAAACTCTCTCTTTCCATAGGCACGGGTCCGGAAAAACAACAAAGCCGGAGGTCTCTCTTTGTCCCATAAGCACGGGTCCGGTCCGAAGGGGAAAAAAACAACAAGAGCGCCAACAAAAACACGAAAACTCCCGGAGCAGCAGTTGATCGAGGCACGAGTTCATCAATGACCTGCTGGAGGCCCAGTGGCCCTACATCTCGGAGTGGTTCAACGACATCATGCGCCGCTCCTGTGAGCCCGCGCTGCAAGCGCTGATGCCCAAAGGCCGGGATTTTCGAGAGCGAACTCGAGTCGGTGAGTCTGAAAAAGGGGGGTTCGCTTGTGCTTTTGCCCACGCGCGCCAACTCCCCAACAAGGTAGCGAGTCCTCAAAAAAAGGGGGGCACATCTGGAAAGGCGATGACATCGGGTCAGGATTGACATTTGGGCCAGATTGAACAGATTGAAAGCTTCTTCACCAGCTGATTTAGGAACGGATCTCCGTGTGAAGCAGGCGATTTTTGGATGCAACTCTCCTTTCAACCCTGAAAGCTCTTTTGGATCAGACAGCTCTAGACATGGACAGCCTGAAATCTCAAATGTGAGGTGACTGACGTCTTGAGAAGTCTTGAGGTCTGGTTAGTGGAAGTTTGCGGCCACCGTAAATAGGCGCGGCCGTCCTTACCGTGTGTTGATTCTGGCCCATTTGACAGGTGTCAGTATATCCTTCGGAGATGCTTGGCTGCACTCGTGCAACATACACACATCCCTACATGTCTTCTTTAAAGGTCACCCCTCCAAAGGGACGCTTGTTTTAAACTGGCCCAACAGGTGATATTTAAAGCCGCCCTTAGAAAAGAAAATCCAGGGAGCCCTGGCACAAGGAGCTAAGGAGCAGTGTACTTTGGGCACCATGCCCGCAGTGCTGCAGCAGATCAAGGCCAGCAAGTTCTGCGAGGACGGGTGTGGGGCTGACAGGCCCCCCCCTGCATGGTGGGGGGGCTCGGAACACCACTCTGGTATCACAAGAACCATATTTTTATAGACCCGCCCTCTGTTCTTAAAAATAACGTCCACGCAAATCCGACTCTTCACAAGACATGTCGAGCACGGGAGCCTGTGGGAGCCTGATGCTGTCCGATGGTTGACCACTAAAACTCTACCGGTTCTACTTAGATACGCCACGCGGGGTTCGGTTCTGCAGGAGGAGTCCACCACGATCCGCTTGGACGCCCTTTTGGACTACAACGGGGACTGCCAGGTGGATGTGACTTGCACCGTGGGCAGCCTGGTGCAGTGCTCAGAGTGGGCCGGGGGGGTATTTGGTTGAGGCTCGGTGCCCTTTTTGGGTTTAGGGTTTGAAGGGAAACCGAAAGGAAACCCATTTGTTGTCGGTCCAAAGGTTTTTCAGATTCTGGAAGCCTCGAAGCCCTTTTGGGGGGCCCCTTTGTTTGGGTCCACGTTCACAGGTAGGAGTCGTGTGAGGCTCGATCCAAATGTGCCAGGTGCTGACGCGTTTGCAGTTGAGGGGCGACATCGTCATTGAGTTGGCATACCTCCGCAAGGATCCAACTGACGGCTTTGGTCGGCTGGCTCTTCACGCATTTTTTTTTGGCTGGGACAATGTGCGGAGCGTGAACTCGAAATGCCGGATACTTTTGGACGTGCTTCCTTGTGCCGGCTGTGGACGGGGATTCCAGACCCCTAACTTTGACCCCCCCCCGTTCCCGGTCCCCCCCATGCGTTTTCCCCACGAATCACAGGATCCGCCCTGGTTCAGCGGCGTGCGCATCTACTTCGCCAACCGCCCCAAGATCGCGCCTTGGACATGGGCGCCCGTGCAGAATGTGGGTACCTCTTTTTGGGTTTGCTTCAAGTCAGAACCCGATTTGACACTGATGGATGCGAAATGTGTTTGGCACCACCTAGAAATCCCTGGAATGATGCGATTCCCCTGCCAAAAAACCAACAATCAATGGTTTCTAATGGTTTCAAAGTAGTCAAGGACTATATCCATCCACAGTATTATATACCCTATTGGATTCCTTGGATGCGAGTGCTTTCAGGTCCGGCTCTTGGATCCGGAAAAAGGACAGGGCGACCATGAACAGCGGGTCTCCTTGGTCTCCGCGGCGCACTGGGGTTTTCTTCTCAGTGGACCCAAAACAGGTTCTCCCGGGTTTCGATCGCCACCAAGAAACAAACATGGGCACCCAGAATGGCTTGGTCTGGATGGAAACATGGACAACCTGCGGTTCCTTGGTGGTTTAGTTTCTTGAGCCATAGTGGTTCTTGGTGGTTCCTTGGGGTTCCTGGGGTTCCTTGGTTCTTGACAACCTGCTTTAGTTCCTTGGTTCAGTTCCTTGGTGGATTAGTTTAGTTCCTTGGTCAAAATCCAAATCGCACCCCCAGTGAACATCCCAATCCCCACTAAAATAGGGCCTAAAATGGGGGGGTGAATTCACCTACCAACCAAAATGGTATTGGTTTTGACCACCACAGCCATGTCTTCCTCGTCTCACGGCCGCCCGGGGACGCCTTGGGCGCATCACCCGAGGACCTGGAGGTGCAGACGGCGCTGTTCGGGGTGGAGGCGAATTTCGCCTTCATCAAGCTGCCCGGTGCGCGATCCATGTGGCGGTTCGGTGGTCATTTGACCGTTCAAGGGGATTCCCCATTTTGGTTTGCCTAGGCGACCCGAAACACCAATGGGATCCCATTTTGGTTGGATTGGGTGAATTCACTGCCCATTTTGGGACCTACTTATTTTAGTGGTTGGATTGGGATGTTTACTTGGGGTATGATTTGGATTTTGACCCATGGCCATGTGTCTGTACCCGGAAGGTGTCTGAGGGGTTCTCTGGGAGTCGTTTTTGGAGGTACCCTAAAAGGTTGCCCTGAAATGGGGCGTGCCTTCCTTTTTTGAGTTTGTACACGCGTTTGGGTGGTTTAAGAACATAACAGGGGACTGTGGCAGTGCAAATTCCACTTTTTGGACCTTCGTATGTTTGTATTTTTTGTTGTTTGTTTGGGATATTAGCAGCAGTCTTTTGAGTACAAAACAAGTCAAACAACAAAAACAAGCAACAACAATCCTGAGGCGGTCTTTCCATCAACCCTGCCCAAAGCCAGCACCAAAAAAAGACCTTGGAGAAAGCCAAAGACCAAGCATTGTAGGATGATGTTGTTTTGCGTATGTTGTGTGTGTGTGAGTTGTTTTTCCTGTTTTTCTTCTTCTCTTTTTCTTTTTTCTCGACGTGTTTGGGACCGGACAGGGCTGATCCAGTGGTCACCTTTAGTGAACGGAATTGCTACGTTGCTGCATGACCACTTGAGATTCCAATCTGAAATGCGAATCTCAGATAAAGTCTTGTTGAATAAATTGTACTTACATGTTAGCTGATTTGTGTGCAATCAAAATCCGGTGTACATTATTTAAATGGGACTCGATAAGGAAACACTTCTTCCGAATCCTATTGCAAAATATGTTGTAAATTTAAGACTTGGCTGGAACGTCCTTGCCAAACAGACGTTTACAATTCAATTCAAATTTACAAATTCTGATTTTTAGTGAACGGCCGTTGGTGGAGGTGTCAGTTTAGTATGAACAACGCTACATGGTAGCGCTGGGGCTAGGCAGAAACACATTTTTTTCTATAAGTTCTTTCCTTGTGCACTTATACTTATACCGCATATCTTTATCAAATTATACGCAACTTGTACTGAAATTCTAAGTGAATTTAGATCGACCATCCAAGCATGAATTCTGTTTTGAATCAGAATTAAGCAAACCACTATTCTATGTCAAGTGATAGTTTACTCATAATTTCCTTTCCAATCGAATTGTCTTTACAAATCAGTTAACATTTAAGCACAATTTATTCAGCAAGAGCGCACCACAAGCAAAGCACAGACTTGCACGCACAAGCAGATCAAAAGAAAGCGCAAAGAGCGCACTGAAACAGTCTCCAGCCCCATAGAAAAGGGGAAACCACCCGTTTGGGGGCTCCTTTTTTCCACCCAGATTTAGGGATGCGTCCGATCTAATGGGCATGTCTGTTTCATTTTTTGGGTTGGTCGCCTCGCGCTCTCGTTTTTAACAAGGGTCCCGGTTGAAGAGCTGCTCGCCATCGTATCTTGGGAATTTTTCCCATGCCTCTGAGGCAGAAATTGGTGGATGCGCTCACGAGCGTCATCTCCAGCCAGGCTGTGCTGCCTAACCGCTTCTGCGTGCCTGGACCTTGCTGAGCAGGTTTTTCGAAGTTGGACACTTCTGTTCTTGCAACGGTTCTTCGCCTTTGTGTTTGACCGGTTAGATTTGAACCGCTGGGCAACCACCCGCAACACCAATCAAAACCACCAACTGAGCGTGTCTTTTTGAGGGCAGCCCTTTTTGCGCGGATTTATATAGAGGACACCAAAAGGACCATTCTCATGTTTTTGTATTTTCATTTGTTTTGGGTCTGCTTCCTGAAGAAAGACGAGTGACGCGGAGATTTGCCTTCGCTGAGATCGCCATGGGATCTTCCGCCATGAGGGAAGTGGACCTGAAGACGCCCACGCCCCAGGGCGTCCTCAGACTGGAAGTGCTGGATGCTTGGCGAATCGGATCGATGCAACAAACATGGATGCGAAACCGAAAGAAACCGAAGGGGGGGGGGAATTTGTTTCGTTTGCCTCAGGGGGTTCCTGGGTAGTGATGGTGGGGAATCCTTTCTAGACCAAGAAGCCTCTATCTCCATCCTGGTTCTTACCCCAAAAACGGCGACAAAGGGTCCCAGAGCTGCTCCACTGCAAGACTTCCTTTCCTTCGAAACCCGTGCGTGGATTTATTTGAAGGATATACCAAACAGATGGGACACACAAAGAGACTCCGCCCAACATTTGGAGCGCAGGTTTTCGTCCTTGAGTCCATTTACCAGGGTTCTAGCCATTTTGGGGTTGCCACCTATATTTTCCACCACCAGCCATTTGTTTGTTTGGACATCCCCCCCTTTCGGAGCACCCCCTGCAGTAGCGGGGAAGCTTCGATTGTCAGGAGGCCAAAGACCTGCCAGATCCGGCACGCTCGTACTGGTCCAACATGGTCTTGCGCTTCGGCTTCAGCAAGGAGACCACGGAGGCGGATCCCTACGTGCAGGCGCCATGACCGACCGCGGCAAGCGATGCCTGTTGATGGTGCTTGTTGCCATCAAGTCTTGGGGTGGTTCTGTTTGAGGGTAGGAAGCGACAGGAAGCCAACGGGAAACCAAAGGTGAACCAAAGGGACACCAAAGGTGAACCACAGGCAAGCCAAGGAAGGGAAACCAAAGGCTAGGCAAAGGGAAACCAAAGGTAGACCAAAGCAAAACCAATGGTCAGGCACAGGGAAACCGCAGGTAAGCCAAAGGGAAACCAAGGATTTCCAAGGGAATCATATCCTTTTCAAGGTTGAGACTCTTGGTAGCAGCTTAGCCGCCTGCATTGCCGAGGCAACCGTCGGCGCACAGGTGGAAAAGACCAGTGTCATAGCAAAAAGCTGGAAGCCCAGCAGGATTTGGGGATGGCGGGTTGTTTGGGTTTGTCGTCCTCTTTCTGAGTTCACTGTTCACGTTCCATGGTGTTTGCGCATCTCCTTGTGTCATCCCACCCGGGAGAAACCATGGGAGTGTGTGGGTCAAAACCAATGGTAGCATTTGGGGCTAGGTGAATTCACCACCCGTTTTCGTCTATTTTAGTGGGGATTGGGATGTGGGTACGATTTGGATTTTGACCCATGACCAAATGAAGACTTAGGTCGTGCCCCAAAGTGGAGCGACTGCGCTTTCGACTTCGTGGTGGACGACCCGGTGCTGCAGGCAGCGCCCTGGTGCCCTGGAGCTTTGCGGCGGGCTTGCGCGAACTGATTGGCCAGCTGTGCGGGTAAGACATACGGCCAGCTGTTGACTCCATACGGCCATCGGTCAAAATCCAAATCGTACCCCCAGTGAACATCCCAAGCACCACTAAAACTGAATAGAATGGGTGGTGACCGACCCCGAAATGGTACCATTGGTTTTGACCCACGGCCGTATTTTCATCAACCAACCAGCTTACTAGTGGGGGGCTGTCCATTTCTGGGTTGAGTGAGGAATCAGACCACTTTAGGAGGGGAACACCCCCCTATCAATAAAATGGGTTGATGAAAATATGGGGACAAGATTGGGTTGAGCAATGCTCGAGATGTGAGGGGATGACATGCGCTGAACTGCGCTTAGCACACCGGGGTTGACAAAGTCCAATGGGCGGCTCGTCGTTTTTCAGAAAAGTGGCCCACGTCCCCGCCCCCCCCTCCCCCGAAATGGCCTTGCAGGTTTCCTTTTTCAGCGAGCACTTAGTTGGTGGTTTGAATTGCTGGTTTGGGGATTTGAACTGGGTGTTTGCAGAGAGTAAATAGGAAACCCCCCCTGAACCACCAAGCCACCAATCCAAAGCCACCAATCCAAAGCCACCAATCCAAACCACCAAATTGGAGGGATGTCGACTCTTGGTTTCCCTTTCCCACACGAACGGGTCGGAGCGTGCCTCACCCGACGACAGTTCCTGGGTCGTGCGCCGCGTTACCACCGCGCTCGCGCGTCCGTTCACCGCGCGACCGCGCGCGGCAGAATCTCCACTTGGCGGTCCATGACGATGACATGGGCGCGTGGAGTTGGAAGCAGCCGGAGCCCCCAGCGACCTTTCAGCCGAAGCCGGATCAACCCCATCCAGCCCCTGGAACCCCATCAACCAATTTGGCCATAGGGCATAACCTATGGCGATCCCATTTTGGGGTGGGCCACCTATTTGATGTTGATCAGGGGTACAGGGTTTTGACCCACAGCCATTTGGCTGAAGCTCCTTAGGTGGACGGTGGTTTTGAATTCACCCAGCCGCTGGTTTTTGATGGTTACAGGCAACGTCCCCCTTTCAGCAGCTCGCCCCTTCTCGGGTCGAAAGCTCGGGCTACCCCGTCGCAAGGGCGGAGGTGCTGGGCGCCGTGGAGAAGAAGCTGTCGGCGCTTTTGGAGAGCCAATTCTTTGAGGCCAGCCCCGGACATGTGCAATGGTACCATTTTGGGGTGGGTGCACCACCCATTTTGTCTATTCTAGTGGGGATGGGGATGTTCGCTGGGGGTATGGGGTTATGACCCATAGCACTATCTTAGATGTTTGGCCTGGTTGGGGATAGTGAAGCCCAACGCCTCAGGTTTCCCTTTTTTTTGTACGAGCAAGCAGCTGCTGAAAACAATCCAAAGGGACACTTCCAGAGGTTTCTATCCTGGCTTCCCGCCCAAGCCCCAGTGTTGACAGCCAAATGGCCCGCTGGGTTGGAAAACGGGGGTCTGCTGGCACTTGCAGGTTTGCAGGGTCATAACCTATGCCTCCATTTTGGGTCGGATGAACACCCTTTTGACGTTCACCAGGGGTACAGGGTTTTGACCCACAGCCACATCAGCTTCATTGGAACGCAGCTTGGCTCGCGTCGTCAGGCCGCCTCTGATCTGCCGGAGTGCTGGCTGAACTTGCACACGGGCCCAGGCAACCTGGTGCCCTGCGGCAGATTGCGCGTGCGCGCCCAATGGCGCCCGCTGAGCCGCGGCTGCGCCTGGGTTTGGTCTCTCGTTTTTGGGGGGCAACGGGGGGGTTGCCACTGGTTGTTCTGTCAGGACATTGAGGGATTCGCCACTTTAGCGCGGTTTCAGCGGTTGGACGGGAAGCTCACTGGAAAGGGTTGGTTTTCCACAACCATGGCTTCAGGCGCTCAGGGCAACGTACATGGACAGGGGCTTGCGGCGCAGACTTTGTCACCTTTGACAAGTCCCAAGCGCAGGTTTCCAAAGGGCTGGTTTCGAGTCGGGTGCTCGACTTCCACTGTGCTTCCATTTTCGATTTGAGGCAGGTGCGAGCCCGAATCCATGCAGATCAACGTGCAGCCGGCCGCAGGCACAATCGCTTTCATATCCAAAGCCAATACCCTGGTATCTCTTTTCCCCAACAGCTGAAAGCTATGGGGTCTCTGCCCAGATAGGCTTCTGGGCGGTTTGCGGCAGCTTTCAGGGAGATTCGGTTCCGCGAGGTTCCGGGGCTGGGGATATGACCTGGCTCCGAATTTTTCCGCGGAGAGGGGAACTCTTTGAACGACCCCTGCGAGGTCTTTGGAGCATCGGCAGCAAGTTCCGTCATGAGTGGCTGCTGGTGGTAGACACCCTCAGCGCATCTGCCTTGCCCGCGCACGGCAGCGGCCTGAATCACTACGTGTCTCAGCATCGCGTTGCTACCAGAATGATGAGTTCCCTCTCTCCAGAATGGTGGGTGTCCGCGGAACAACTCTGTTGCATGGTGCTTCAAGGGAGACCAAGAGAACACCACTGTGAGATGGCCCCGAGTTTCAAGTTTCGCACAGCCCACCGGAGTTCACCGAGTCATTCCGGGAATGAAAGCCAAGCTGCCCCGCCTTCATTTCCATGAGCCGAGCCCCAGCCTCGAGGTAAAAATCAGCATACAGTTCGACGGCACAGACGTGGGCCCCACATACGCAACAGGACGAGAAGTCGCTTTTGGCCTTTTGCAGGGTTCCAGCAAAAGCCAAGAGCCTTGATGCGTCGATTCGCATTGTGCCAAGATGCAAATCTGGACCCCAAAACATGACCGGCTGCCCGCATCTCCAGGACTGTCCGTTGGAGCCGGGCCGATTGAGCATGGTCAGCAGATGCTGACTGTGGGCATCAATCCAGAGATCGGGAAGGTGTTGAAGGAGCATCCGGACAAGTGCCTCGGCATCGGTTTCGAGGGTAATTGGGACAATTCGGGAGCGGGGTTGCTTGCAATTGACTGGGATTCTGCGCCACTATCGCCTTGGACAGCTCACACACTTTATTCTTTTGCCTGCAGGTGTTCATGATCAACTCCTCTCTGTCCTTTGTACTGTTCCTTGCCAGGGGACACATGGCTCCGCTGCTTCCCCGTTGTTGTCGCTTCAGGCATCATAATCTTTTTCGAGAGAGCCTTGCCGCGCAAGCACACACACAGCTCACAAACATTGACGCGTGCTGAATAGCCAACATTGGCCTGCCAACTCAAGCATGACAATGCAGCGGATGCGTCTTTGTTAAGCTGGAGCACGGTCATGGGCTACCCTCCACTTAGGCGTGAAACCGCTTCGCGACAGTGTCCAACCAAAACAACGGCAACAACACACATGGTCTATTGCAACCTGCCTCATGATTAGATCACGCCTTCCGACGTAGAACACAAATAAACATGTCCGAGCTTGCCAAAACAGGTGGGATTCCTCTTATTCCAACTTGTACGGAACGAACATAATTCGTAGGACCACCCCAGGTATGGCCTACCCCGACCCAATATGCGGCCGAAGTCCTGCCAGGATCTACGAGCTGTGGCGTGCCCGCGTGAAGATCTCTGAGAAAGCCGGAGATATCGAGCGTTTGCGCTCAGGCGAGACACGTCATGCCCCACCACCAAAGTGATTGAACGGAGGCAGGAATGTATTTCAGGCGGCAGACAAAGTCAAAATCGGGAAAGCGAAGGATACTAAGGAACAGTCCCCATGAGGAGGCCATGGTTTTGATAGACCCAGAAGAGGTCTACCACACGGAAGAAAGCAACAGAAGATGGGGTTTGTAGCCACTTGCTTGCCACCCGACCGCAAGAATGGTCAGTCGTCGGCTGGTCACCGGCGGAAACAAGAATTGGGCAGCCACTGTCTATTTGTAGGTTTCACCCCAACAGCAAGAAACAACATAGGCACTACTGCATAACCTTTGTATATAATATGGGTTTGTTTCTCTCATGGGCCGGTCACCTTTGGTTACCCTCCACACCAACCAGAAAGTCAGACAGGGGCTTCCTCCAACCATGATGCCATAGAAATGTTATATAATATTATATATATATATATATGTATTATAATATCCCACGGATGAAAAGCATATCCACTCGCACCAGCTGGTTTATCCCATTCATAGGGCTTCCCGTCCTGGTGCCGCGGTGCCCTCCGCAGGCCTTGGATTCAGCGGGCCGCCTCTCTTCGTGGATGCCGTGTGGGTGCCTCAGCGGGCTGGGCGTTGGTTTGACCCCACCGGTTTTTGCTTGGCCCAGCCACCCGGTTCCGTTGCCTTGTAGCTTTTTGGTGTTTCGTGGTTTCCATTTAACCCACTACAGGTTATTTTTTTTTGGCGGGGGATCTGAGGGCAGCCCAGTTTGGACCCCAAGATTTGGTCCAAAGGGGTCCAATTGGATCAGGTGGAATCACACCTCGCGGATCCTTGTGGACTCCCTGCCCTCGACCTCAGTGAAGCTGACCGTCCTGCGCCTGGAGAAAGGTGCCGCGCACTCTATCTATCTATCGATCTATCTATCGATCCATGCATGCATCCGTCCATCCGTCCGTCCATCCATCCGTCCGTCCGTCCGTCCACCAATCTATGCATCTATCCATCCGTACATACATGCGTTCACGCATTACATTGCAACACATTACAACACATTATGTTATATCACATTACATTGATTTGCATCACAGTGCATTGCATCGCATCGCATCGCATTGCATTGCACTAAAGTACATGACAGACGTGACATACATGACATTGCATTGCACTGCACTGCACTGCATTACATTCAATTGCGTTACGTTAAATTGCGTTACATCGCATTACATTGCATTAAATACACATGAAGCCTACATCACCATACTACATTGCATTGCATTGCAGTGCAGTACAGTACAGTAAAGTACAGTACATTACATTGCATCACATTGACTCGCAGTATTAGTGCATATATATATATATGTTATGTACATACACACACACACACACATCCCTTGAATATCGGGCTCTCCCTGCAAGGTCAGCGGCGTTTGGAGGATGGCAGCGTGCTGGGGAGCGCTTCCATGTCCTTGCCGGAGTTGCAGGCAGCATTGGTCAAAGCGAGCGCCGTGTGGGTTTTGACGGGTTTTTGCAAACACCAAAACTCGCTTCAATGGGCCGAGGTGAGGTTTCAATCCAAAAAGAGGTGGAAATACGGGTGTGTGCGTTGTTTAAGGATAGCGGATACCGTTTTGACCTTGGTTCGAAGGGAAACCAAAAGGAATACCACAGTATATATTTACACATGTATCGCGTTTTGCCGCCTGAGGGTGGCTTGGCAGAAATGGACACCCTTCCAGAACACGTGAGTGCCACAAACACTCGAGTTGGCCGTTTTGGTCTCTGGTGAAGTCTGTATCAGCCTTTGGAATCATGTTGGTATGCAGCTCCCTTGAGAAGCCCCGCAAATTTTGGCAAAGGGCCCAACTCGCTTTAACCCCTTGGCACGCAAAGCGCGAGAAAAGGTCTCCAAGACATGGCTCATGCCTTATGGCCAATGTCAAAGGTTGTTGCTTGACTGAAACGGCTGTACCTGAAGTGGGTCAAAGTCAGACAGTCAGACCAGCAGGCGACCGCAGGTTTTATTTCCATACACCAGGGCAAGCCATTTGGGTACCTATTGTTGACCACAGCCATGTGCGTGTGAGTGTCAAAGCGAGTGATGATTTCAGTACTGGCTGGGACTTCACAGGCCCTTTACGATCGCCCGGAAGAATCAGAAACACACCCATTGAGGCATGGAGATCTTCCACCAGTTGGGTGGTTTGACCCATAAAATTTCATGCATCCCAACTGCGAAGTAGAGTTTGTCCAATCCATCCATTCCTGCGCCAGGTCGGTGGTTTAACCCATTCATAAAGTGGTGCGAAGTGGATTTCATCGGTCCTTTTGGAAACACTCCAAACCGCGGGCGCCCAGAAGCGTGGTGGACGCTTCGAAGACTTGCTGCCCTTGGGAGACAAGGACGGTGCCATGGGTTTGCGCGGACACTGCCCCATGTGCGTGTGTCTTTTTCCGACCCTTTTTCGACCCCTTGTTGGTTTCAAAGACCAATCCCATTTGGGGAGGTCCCCTTAAAAAAGACAAGCCCATTTCCCAACTCTTTCCAAGAAAAAGTGGGCGACGACTTAAATGAACTGTGAGCAACTTGCAGCGAGGATAGTTGACTTACCCGACCAATCATTTTGTCTGGGGGTCCGACTGACAGTTTGAAGCCGGGACCCCAAAAAGGATCACCACCGAGATTAACGCAATGGATATTCAACATATTAGCTTCCCCTCACAAATGCATCACGTGTGTGATGTGGCCATGGGTCAAGTCGTCAAATCCCGTACCCCCAACGAACATCCCAATCCCCACTAAAATAGGTTCTAAAATGGGTGGTGAATTCACCGAAAACCCCAAAATGGGATCCCATTGGTTTTGACCCACAGCCATGTGTCCTCCCAAGAGCCGGCTCTTCTGGTTGCGCGTTCTGGCGAGGATGGCTTGGGCGCCATGAGCGCCTTGCAGCTGCGACTGCGGCTGCACCCCCTGGCTGCGCCGCCTGCCGCTCGTCACAGGCAAAAAGCGGATGGTGCCTCGCGAGTGATGCGACATGTCGCGCTTTCTCTTCACGTGTTTCATGGGTTGGGCACTTTTTTTTGGATCCAAATACCCTAAACCCTAAACCCTAAACCCTAAACCCTAAACCCTACACCCTAAACCCTAAACCCTAAACCATCCCGACGTTGACACGGACCCAATGTTTATTGGTCCAAAGATTTTTCAGATTCTAGAAGCCACAGAGCTATCCATCGATACCTCTGGGCGTTTGATCCCGAGGAGTCCGGCACCAGCCACGCGCCTCAAGCTCGGCTGTCTCGAGCGAGAACGCAGTGGTTCGCCAAAAGCATCGCGAAGGTGCGGGCGCTCAGCGGCTTGGCCGGGATCTGCAGTGGATATCAGTGAGCCATTTGAACCCAGAAGGGACATGGCCATGGGTCAAAACAAAAAGCCAAATCGCGCCCCAAAAAATTAGATCAATCCAACCAAATAGGAAGCCTAGAATGGGTGGTGAATTCACCGAAAGCCCCAAAATGGGATCCCATGGGTTTTGAGCCACAGCCACATGGAGGAAATGAGAAACCCTTGCGGAAACACTCCAGGTCAAGGAAGGAAACACGAGCTCTCAACTTTCCACTGTAGGTGGCTTGCAACTGTGCGAGGGGGCGAAGCTTTGAGCGGGTAACCAGCCACTTTCAGCTCAAAGGGTGCTTCCCTTCATTACAAAAAGGCAAATGGAATCGCTGGCTAAGATAGGGACCCCTTGTTGCAGGGGTTGTTTCCCGATTTATATCAACACCCCCTTCAGGGGTTCCTTTTCAACATGACTTTGTTTGGCCCATTTCAGGTGAGGTTTCCTTGGTATAGGGATGATAACCTCAACCTCTTTTGGATGTTTTGACGGGGCACCAATTTTGAGGAATCCGACATGAGTCGGCCACTGTTTGCAGGGGATTGGCCACCTTCGGCCAATCCTGTGAGACGTTGGCTCTCAGGCTTTAGAGCGCCAAGCCCCGATATGCCGTCAACGCCGACCTCCCCATTTCTGTCAGGAGACGGGCATCGCTTTCCAAAGACGGTACGTTTGCGGCTGAACTTATGGAGTCCGCATCGCCAGGATTCGCCACTCCTGAACCGCGACCTGAGCCCTCTGCGGCGTCCGCGGCGCCCGCGGCGCCCGCGGCGGCGCCCGCAGTCGCGCCGACGGCCCCGACTGGAGAGGCGCCCACCGGAGGTGCTGCCGACTTTCGGCAGCGGAAGTACTTCCACGCCTCCGAGGAAGGGCTCGGCCGGGATCGCCCGCCGCTTGCCTTCGCCTGTGCCAGGAGCCTTCGGAGCCTTTGGAGCCTGAGGCGAATTCCGAAGCCCCAGTCTCGTGGTTGCAGAGGATACGTGCGCGCTTGTGGTGAAAACCAAGATTGCGCAAGGGCGGATGCAGTTGCGATAGAATCTTGCAATTGACGACTCTGGCTCAGCAGGCCTCTCACTGAGCCCACATGAGCAATGCAAAAGCTGAAACGCCTCATCCAAAATTGCTGTGCCGCTGTGAGAATCCTTGCTATGCTGACACACTGACAGCTCACAGACTTTGGACGCTTGGGAACTGCGATGGATGGTGGTGAGCGCTTTCGCGAGCTATTGCAGTCTGTTAAGGACACAGTTGTTCGCCCCCGGGAGGCAACTAGTTTCGATTCATGTAGCGGCCAGTGGCTTGCTTACCATACTACATCAGCCCTAGTGCAGCTCTGGGACCATTCAAGCATTTCTTTGGCTGTCTGGGTACCTTTCCAAGGAAATTTTTCAACAGCCAAGCTCTGCGTGATCCGCAGGAGCAGTACGAGGAAGATTTGCACTATTTGAGCCTCTTGCCAGCTCAGACGTGCGCACACATTTGAGCGCAGATGAAGGGCACTCCCATGGTCAAAATGGCCAGTTCGGGGTTAAGTGTGGCTGGATATTTCTGCAGCTTTTTGTTGCGACACTTAAAGCCCTTGAAGGGGGAACCTTATGAGAAATCGGCCATGGTACATCCGTCGCCGAGGATGTGCCCGCAGATCAGCTCTCCATCGAAATTGCCCGGCCCTCGGCGATTTCGTGGGAGCCCACAAATCAAGACGGGACCCCGAGAAGAGCCCCACCATTTTCGGCTCCCATTTTGGGGGCAGGCTTCCATGTTTATTTGGGGGAGTCATTGTTAACATAGCCGCCCTTCGCCGCGCTTCCTGAAATTTACTTTTGCCAGTACAAGCATCCCAAGCGCAGGCACGAAGAACATGGATGACCGCGAAGATCCAGCATCCTTGGCGCGCTTTGCATTTCTGCCAGTTTCATGTTCGTTTCCCTTGAAATACCAAGCTGAGCAAGCAGAAGTGGGTCCACCATATTGAGAACCACTCGTGTGAAGCTTTGACGCAGCTCAGGCACCGGTGAAGGCGGCCAATGCCTCGGTGCAAACGGAGCTGGTGGAAGAGCCGCGCGTCCAAGTTCCAGACGACTCGGTGCTGGATGATCTGCAAGAAGAGCCCAAAATCCTAGAGGCGGATGGCAAGTGGGTATGGGTCAAAATGAAACCATTAGGGGACCGCAGGTTTTAGTCCTTGGTTCCATTTACCAGGGCTCCATTTAGGGTACCTATTTTTGACCCACAGCCAAGTGTGCCGGGCCCCAAACGGGGTTGTTGGTTTTGGGACGTCTGGAGCCAGGTGATGGAGGTGAGGGAGGCTCTCCGGGAGGTTCCGGAGCACGAGGGCAAGAAGCTCTTCTTGCCACGTTCCAGTGGCCATACCAGACCGAGCATGTCCGGCGCGCGAAACAGTGCCACTTGGACTTTAGGCGGCTTCGGTCGACATTTCCTGATTCGAGAATGTTGTGAGGGACATGAAGCAGCCAAACTGTTCAACACAAAAACCGGCCAGGAGTAATTCGTGACACGTTTGGCTCTGGTCGTGAGCATGTTCGTATTTTAGGGCACACCTTTGGTGATTCTCCTAACACCAACAGGGGAGTTCAATTTTCGGGGGCTCTCATTTGGAGAGGGGCCTTTTGGTGTCAAGCATATGTTGAGTTGATTGGCGTGGAGGTTCCAGTTCTCATTCTCTCTGTCAACATGATGCCTCCTTTTGATTAGGACCGGAAGATGATGTTTGTCGCGCCTCCTTCTTTGGACGTCCAAAAAAGGTCCATAGTTTGGACAAACCTTAGGGACTACATTGAACTTGCTGGAGTTTGCTAGCAATTGAAAGGAAGTCGAAAGGACGCCCATCGATTCAAACGCTCTGCCCAAAGCTCAGCGGCCAGCCCATTTTGGGTCACAGACAATCCATTTTTGATGAACACCGTGTTCACGTTCTTTCAGAGCCAAGCAGCACCTGGAATCCCAGATTTGGGTCTTTGGTCTGACCAGCGAAGTCGGCTTAAGACTTCTGGACACATGGGCATTTCCTGGAAGCGGAGGCTTCTCTTGGAGGCATGCCCCGCCTCAACCCCCCAACCCCCACGCTTCCCCCGAGGTGAAGGTGCGGAACTCAAAGCTTCGCTTTTCCAGCGCTGTGGTGCCAGACAGGCAAGTGGGTGAGGGCACTTGGGTAGATGGCATGTGCGTGTGTGTACGTGTCATGTGTGTGTGTGTGTGTGTGTCGTGTGTGTGTGTGTGTGTACGTGTGTACGTGTCGTGTGTGTGTGTGTGTGTACGTGTGTACGTGTCATGTGTGTGTGTGTGTGTCGTGTGTGTGTGTGTGTACGTGTCATATGTGTGTGTACGTGTCATGTGTGTGTGTGTGTCGTGTGTGTGTGTGTACGTGTCATATGTGTGTGTACGTGTCATGTGTGTGTGTGTGTGTCGTGTGTGTGTGTGTGTGTGTCATATGTGTGTGTACGTGTCATGTGTGTGTGTGTGTCGTGTGTGTGTACGTGTCATATGTGTGTGTACGTGTCATGTGTGTGTGTGTGTCGTGTGTCGTGTGTGTGTGTGTGGGTACGTGTCATATGTGTGTGTACGTGTCATGTGTGTGTGTGTGTGTGTGTCGTGTGTCGTGTGTCGTGTGTGTGTGTGTGTACGTGTCATATGTGTGTGTACGTGTCATGTGTGTGTGTGTGTGTGTCGTGTGTCGTGTGTGTGTGTGTACGTGTCATATGTGTGTGTACGTGTCATGTGTGTGTGTGTGTGTGTCGTGTGTGTGTGTGTACGTGTCATATGTGTGTGTACGTGTCATGTGTTTGTGTGTCGTGTGTCGTGTGTCGTGTGTGTGTGTGTACGTGTCATATGTGTGTGTACGAGTCATGTGTGTGTGTGTGTGTCGTGTGTCGTGTGTGTGTGTGTACGTGTCATATGTGTGTGTACGTGTCATGTGTGTGTGTGTCGTGTGTCGTGTGTCGTGTGTGTGTGTACGTGTCATATGTGTGTGTGTGTGTACGTGTCATGTGTGTGTGTGTGTGTGTCGTGTGTCGTGTGTCAGGTGTGTGTGTGTGTGTACGTGTCATATGTGTGTGTACGTGTCATGTGTGTGTGTGTGGGTCGTGTGTCGTGTGTCGTGTGTGTGTGTGTGTACGTGTCATATGTGTGTGTACGTGTCATGTGTGTGTGTGTGTGTCGTGTGTCGTGTGTCGTGTGTCGTGTGTGTGTGTACGTGTCATATGTGTGTGTACGTGTCATGTGTGTGTGTGTGTGTCGTGTGTCGTGTGTCGTGTGTGTGTGTACGTGTCATACGTGTGTGTACGTGTCATGTGTGTGTGTGTGTGTCGTGTGTCGTGTGTCGTGTGTGTGTGTGTGTACGTGTCATATGTGTGTGTGTACGTGTCATGTGTGTGTCGTGTGTCGTGTGTCGTGTGTGTGTGTGTGTACGTGTCATATGTGTGTGTGTACGTGTCATGTGTGTGTGTGTGTCGTGTGTCGTGTGTCGTGTGTGTGTGTGTGTACGTGTCATATGTGTGTGTACGTGTCATGTGTGTGTGTGTGTGTGTCGTGTGTCGTGTGTCGTGTGTGTGTGTGTACGTGTCATATGTGTGTGTGTGTGTGTGTGTGTGTACGTGTCATGTGTGTGTGTGTGTGTGTGCGCGCGTTTGTACAGCATGTATTCCTTTTGTTCTGTAGCTTAAGGTAGCTTGCACCACCAGGCCAGCTGATGCCGAAGCCTACGTCAGGGCCTGAGTCTTTCCTCGTGTTGCCAGGTTGTGCACAGCGAGTTGCTCTTAAACACGTTCAATGCCAACGCATGGTGCGCGACCGAGGGTCACTCTTTTGTCTTGCTTCCTCTGTGCAACCCTCCCAGCTGGAGCTTCCCAACATGGTATCCGAACCAACTGATGCCAGGGGTGAAGCCATTTTTGTGCTCAGGCGCGAGGTTTTTGTAGCTTTTTGCTTGTTGCCGTCTTCAGTAAGCCCCGAATGCCGATAGTGCCAAGGGTCGTTGGCATTGGTTGTTGGCATCCTGCGCTTAGTCGGCGTTTGTAGACTGTGCTCCAATTCACGTGCTGAGAGTACGACGTAAGTGTCACACAATGACCAAATGATTTGACTAGCGACACTGTTGCGCTGCCCCGCTGTTGCTGTTTATTGCCACGTGTAGTATGTCTTTGTTGGTTGCGAGTTGCAAGGCATCTGTTCTCTGTGACGCTTATGCCCTGCATGTCTTCTTTGCAGGTCAAGGATCCTCACAATATGTGCTCGACGCATGTGTTTAGCGATTAAGGCATTTTCAGTCGGTCCAGGAAAGGAAGGACACCCCTGAGAGCTTGCCCCAAAGGAGCTCACTATTTCTGCACAGCTGTTGTAACATCAGGCAACCACAGCCTGCAAGCATCATCTGAAGCGAAGGCGGGAGATGCAAGTAACAGTTGCTTCCCAAAAGACGCGTGACAAGGTACAAGCAAGTTCAAGTACACCCTCCAAAATGGCTTCAATAAACTTGATCGCTGAGCAAAATGCAGGCTGTCAGAGGTGCAAAGCCTCGGGGACGACTCTTGACCACACACACACACACGCGCGCGCGCACCGATCACAATCTGCTCTGCGCATGTGCCTTTTGTTGTTGTGTCGCCCCGCAATCTTGACCAGATTAGTACATGACTTAAGTTCCCTTTGGGATGGCTCCGAAACGCACTTTCTGACAGATCCCTGCATCTCTTTGTAGCAGAAGTGATTCTTTGGAGTTCTGACCATGGCATGACAGGATCAAACTTTTTTTGCAGGTCCTTGAATGCCGCCCACGTAGCCTCTACACCGAATGGTGGGAGCCAATTGCCATGATTTCCAGCGGGAATGTCGCCCCCTGATGACTAACCCCACTTTCTATTTCTCGGGCCCGGAGATGGGGGGCCCCTTGATACATAGCTGGCGATGTATGACCCGGGGTCCTCGCGTTAGGAAGCTCGAAGCCCTCGGTCATCGATACGCTCGTCCCTGACCTCCAGCGATACCGAAGCGCGTCACGGCTTTCAGTGCAGCTCGGAATGGACGGGCTCAAGTTACACGGGGGTGGCTTGACACAGGGGGGTTGGGGGGCTTGACACGGGGGGAAGGGCGGGGCAAGCATGGCCAGTTTCTGTTTGGCTCTTTTTAGCTCCGCCAAGACAGACCAATCAAGGAACGAATCCAATTGGACCACCAGAAATGGGGCCTTTCAATTTTGTCACAGTATGTCTTAATAGGGGGGGGGGGGTGATTTCCCTAAAACTGCACCTTTGGCCGGACGAGGCAGCGGGCGTCGCACCATGTTCTTCGACAAGTCCCCCGAGGCGTCAGAGAAGGGTGTCAGGGGGCACTCTTTCTCTTTCTTTTTCTTCTCTTTCTCTTTCGCTTTCAGTTTTTCTTTAGTCCATTTCTTTCGTTTATTTCTTTCTTTCGTTCTTTCTTTGTTTCTTGTCTTGTCTTTCCTGTTCTTTCTTTTGTTCTTTCTTTTGTTCTTCCTTTCTTGTCCTTTCTTTCTTCTTTCTTTTCTCTATATGCAACCCGGTGTCCTGAAAATTGGGACTTTTTTCTTTGTTGGCGTGTGCGAGTTGTTGACTTGGGCCGCTTCTTTTGTCTTCACAAGAAGGCCCCCCTCCAGTCGACGCCGTACGTGAGGAAGTGGAGGCGATGTTTCAGGAGGCTTTCAACGAAGATGAGGATGGTGAGGAGGAAGACAGCTGCAGCCCCTCCGATTGGATACCTCACAGTCCTGCATTGGGGCGTTTTTTTTTTTTTTTTTTTTTTTTTTTTAACTTTTTCGTGCTTGGTTTTTCAGCAGGGAAGTTCTTTTGGTTGGCTTCAAGGGGAAACCGCGAGGAAGCCCACGATGTTTCGGGGGTCCCTGACACATTGCTTCGAAAAGGCAGGCAAGGGAAACAGAGCCTGGAGGGATCCTTTGAGATATGGCTGTGGGTCAAACCCAATGGTATCATGTTGGGGTAGGCGAATTCACCACCCATTTGAGTCTATTTTAGTGGGGATTGGGCTGTTCACTGGGGGTACTGGATTTGGACCCATGGCCATATGTGTCCATATCTGGCGTTCCGGCACGATCTCCCGTGCCAACTCATCCCAGATGAGAAGTCGCACCACCGGCTGAACTTGCACGCCGGGCTGCGCCAGTTCATAGAGACGGATGCTCGGCGCCAAGTGCTGAGCACCATGGTCCTGGTTGCTGGTGCGCTTGTTCGGTGCTGTGGCGTGGATGCTTTTGGATGTTCTCAAGTTGCGTTGCTGCTTGTTTGGCGATGCTGGGTGGTTGCTATTGGTTTCTTGTTGGAAGATGCAGTCCGGGTGCTTGTCATGGTGCTGTTGTTATCTGCCAGCCATGCTAGTCGGGCACTCAAAATCGCTTGAAATTGTGTTTTTTTGTTTTTAATCTGTGGTTTCCTGTACAATGCCCCCAAAAAGGGCACTCTCTGCCGATTTGGGGTCTATGCGGCCAATGAATCTACAGACTCCGGCCTTTGGTTCTGTCAACAAATGCTGATAACGGTGTGCACAATACAAATACAATGACATTTGAACCCGGGAAGTAGAACCGCCTGCTTCAAATGGCCAAACAGGGCTGGGAATTGGCATCAGCTTCAGCCTCTTAGCCCTGGCCATGGTTCCCTCGTGGCACTTGACATGACATTGACGTGTCGCCTGAAATGCTCAGGATGTGTTTGAGATGATCATCTCCTGGCTGATCCTTGGCAACGTCATCGTCATGGCCGCAGCCGTGCTGCTTTGACTGAAGAGTGAGTCGTCTCACGTGCATTTTGTCCTCAGGTTATATAGGATCTGAGGTCATGTGCCAGAAACGAGTTGGCAACTGCTTGTTGACGGTTCATTGCCATTCCCATGGGTCTGGCTTCGTGAGTCACAGACAATATAGATCCAGTGCGGGGCTTGGGAGAACCACCAAGATTCTCTAAGACCAAACCAGGGAGAGCATAGCACGATTTCATCCACTTTCTGTAGAGAATGACTCAGATTGGCATCACAGAAGGATGCTTTTTCCACTCTGCACACTTTCCCCACGAGTTCAGGCAATACAGAGGCTTGGACATCGGCTTCGCCATTGGCTATCCGGGCAAGTCCGAAAAAGCTGCCGACTTGTGGCCAGGCCCTCCAGCGGTGGAACTGATTCTTTCTGGTGCCATGGCTGGCTTTGCTTCTGCGCCAGGTGCAGAAAGCGTCTTGAACGTCTTGGACACGATTTTCACCGGCCTCTTCTTTCTGGAGCTGTTTCTGCGGCTGCGTCTCAGATGCATTTCGTTGTTTTTGAGAAGGCAGTGGTACCTGAGACTCCTTTAAAGGACTCCGCGAGCGTAGGCTGGTCTACGGCCTGAGATTCTTCACGCTCGCACTGAACTGGCTGGACTTTATGGTGGTCATCTTCTCGCTGATGGAAGTGCTGTTGGCCGCCTCCATCCCTGGCTCCTCCACCGTGCCTTGGCAAAGCCACTGACCCCAGTGAATTTGAAGAGGTGCAGTCGAATATCCAGGGATCCATTTGTTAAGAATGAACTTGACTCAAATCCAGGGTTGCTTTGTCGGAATGCATGAGCCACTGGTCTTAAGCCTTTTTTCGGGTAACCAAAAACTGGAAACCAAAAGGACACCAACCACCAACAACTTGAGCTCGGCCCAATCCGCACGGATTAGTCATAGGCGTCAAAGGGATTACCTGCAAAATTTGGTCATGTTTTTTGGGATCCCCTAAACCGAGCTTCCCTAAAAGCGCATTCCTCTTATTTCGAAGTCGTTTGCTTGAATGTTTGCCACTTGACTTTCTGGGTCTGCTTACTAAGCAGCAATTGCCTAGGACCTTTGGAGTCTCGTATGCGGACTAGGTTTGCTGTGGCGAGACAACGCGTCTTTTTGCGTGGATGGACAAAAAGAAGAGAGCAGCTGGATGCTCCTGTCCACGCTTTTGGATGTGGATGGAATGGCGACTTTCCTATTTAATTTGTAGGCTGTGCACCTTTGAAATACCGTGCCGTTTTACTCGTATTGCAAGACACCCTCGCTGCAAATAAATAATCGATCTACTACCTTGTAAGTTTATAGTAAGGCCTATGGGTATGATCGTTTCAAGGGTACGTAACAAGCGACGCGGCACGCATCTTGTATGTAGTCGTTGGACTCGCGCTGGGGTGTGTGGCGAGGCATGTACCAACTGCATGTAACGAGGTATGTAATGAGGTAATACTGGCCCCTCCCTGCTACTTGCTATTTGTTTCGTCTTCTCAAGGGCAAGCTCTCTTCACGACTTGAAACTTCCCGGAGCGAGCACCTGGTTTCGGCACAGACCCAAGTTGACTCTGCACAGGTATGCCGCGCAAAATGTTTGGTCTGCAGGCACCCTCGAGAAATCACAGTCTGGGTTAGCATCGGCATATGCAACTAATGCAGGCATGTAACGAGAGGCTGCGAACAAGCCAGCAAGTCTTGTTACATGGGGTGTGCAACGGCGTATGTCCGCGGCATTGTTGCGGACTCCTAAAATAATATCGCTGTTACACCTATAAATATATAACCATCTTGAACTTGGTAGAATCGACCCCTCAAGAACCATCACTGCCATACAAACCTCAACCATTTTGGTTCCAAAAGTCCACCAATTTCCAGGTGACGCTCTGGAAACGACAGGGCACGGATTGACGTCCTTCGATTAGGTTCTTCGCCTGGTCCGCTTGGCTAAGCTGGCGCGGGGCTTGCGAGTGGTCCGCATGGCGCGCGTCATGGACTCCCTGAATCTGCTGCCACTGGGACCCGGAGTTCGGCCCAAGTGCTGTGGGTCAAAACGAATGGGATCCCATTTTGGGGTAGGTGCACCACCCATGTTAGTCCATTTTAGTGGGGAGTGGGATGTTCACTGGGGGTACGATTTGGCTTTTGACCCATGGCCAAGTGTCAAGTCTTTGAGGGAGGGGTCCTTCTGAAAGTGAGTTTGCATCCGCTGCTTCTGGCTGGGCCTGTCCCTCTCCCGGGTTCTGTCGCTCCTTTGGGGACTCCGGGCCTCGGGCTCCGTGTGAAGCGGCCCGAGGCTGAAGAGCATCGGCGCGAGCTTCTCCATGCTGATGTGGTCCATGCTGCTCATCGCGGTGATTCAATGCACGGCAGGCCCGGCAGGCTGCGCGTCGGACTGGAAGACGGCGTGAGATACTCGTGGAAGAAGCTGGGCGCCCTTTTCGGAGAAGAGTAGGTGAAGGCTTTTTTTCACTTTGTGCCGCCTGCAAAGCAAAGCTTTTGCAAAAAGGTCAAGATTTGGTCAACTCTCCACACGATTGAACTGAGTTAGAAGATCCCCGCTCTGAAGGCATGTTTGTCGGCTACTTGGTTATGGATTTCTTGGAGAAGGAAGACACACCGGATGATGTGCGCAGACAGATCTACAGGCAGGGTGAATCAGAGGTCTTGGACGACCTTTGATTGCAGTGTGCTTGTAAATTGTTGATCCTCATTTGATCAGGACAATCAGCATCACAAGTCTCACCCTCTTCCACACCCGCAAGTTGCAAGCAACCGCAGGTACTACGGGACGTTCACCTATACCATCCTTACGATGTTTGATGCTTTGGTCGCACATACTTCTGCGCTTGCCTGCGATTCAGGATTCGGCTCGGGCATTCGAGGAAGTGATTTTTGCCAACTGGCCCATACCTTGTCGCCTTCTGGTGGACTATGTGGATGAGTGGTTTTCTCTGTACTTCATCATCTACCGCTGTGTGGTTGGACTCCAGCCTCAACTGGTGAGACCGGTCGTGCCATGTTTTGAATGAATCGACCCCTGCTGGCACATGTTTGATGCTGGGGGATTGTTCACAGAGAACTGTACCCTTTTGCAGGCTTGAATAGTACCTTGCAGTGCGAACTCAGGCTTCTGCGTACTCAACGTCGTAGGCGTGGTGTTTCGGAGTTTGCAATGGACACCAGCTCCCGTGCGCAGGTGCAGTTTTCGTGCAGCAAACTATGATTCTTGGCTTGAAATTGTATGTAAGATCAATTCCAACTTACCCAAACGTCAGGCTTTTTTTTGGTGGCGGCAATGGTCCCAACCCAACTCATGCGGCATTGTGTGGAAGAGTTCTTTGGACAAACTGAGCGTGAAGGGCACTGACATAAAACGATTTTGGCGGCTCTTTGGCTGTTGGATGACTGTCGCAGGGCACGCCAGTGGGGCTTGCCGAGTTGCTGCTTTCCAGGAAAGTTGCGGCAGACGATCATGATCTTTTTATGCAGCAGCAAACGCGGAATGCCGAAGCCTACGCGCGCAAAATCAAGGACGTGCCGGGCCCTCATGTCTCGGATGGGCGGAATAGCACAGAATCAGAACCAGCGTGCCTGAGGTTTGCCAAACTCGACACATCTGGTGGCCTGGGCAAACTTGGCGCCAAAAGACGCCGACATCTGGGCTTTCACTTGCGCCAGGTGAGGGGGTGATATTCATGGACGAGTTTGTGGAAATCCTCAACACACCCACGATGACACTTGGCTCAAGTGGCTTGGAAGTGCTTTCCTTTGCCCATGTTGGCGCACCCAACTCTTGGTGACGTGACTGCGCGGGAGGTCCCACTTCATGACCAAGCTGGAGCTTGAATCCACCGATTTGCTGAGTCTCTTCAAGCTGATTGACGTGGATGACACTGGGCACGTCCGGCCCAGCCTGTCTTTCTCGCGGCCCGCATTTGAGCAAAGACCGATTGCTGGTGGTTCTAATGCTTGGTGTCAGGATTTTTGCAAGGCCCATGGAATCTTGCGTCGCCTTAGAACCCAAAATCGATGGTTAAAGGGCGGTGCCCTTTTGCAGATGCCCGTTTGCTGTTTGCTGTTTTCTGTGAACCAAACTGCTTAGAGATGAGCCAAACATCAAAACATCAAGCCGAGCTTGGCCCGACAACCATGTGCATCCACGTTCGCATGTCTCACCAGCGCGGTTGGCTGGAGCGGCGCGCACAGCCTTTGGCACGCTAGTCAGCTAGTCAGGGCAGTCCACCATGCCCGAAACCTGCATAAGTTCCCCGTCAGAAGGTCCTGGAGTTGTCGCGCATGAGCCAGCCAAAAGGCATTCGCGGTGGATTCAAGGTCGACTGGATTGGTCTCAACAGCCTCTCCGACAGGTTCGTTTTGCCACAATTTGCTGTCCGCCGCATTGAGCTCCTGCGTAGAGCAACGGAGTCTCCTTGGCTTATATACTCCTGATGAGACCCGCGCTTTCATGCAGTACCCCCGCCTTGCGTTTCTATCAGCTGTCCAAATGCTGACATGCGCCGTGTGCAGCGGGGCAACCCGCCACCCCCTTGCACTTAGCCTGAACCTTCCGTGCCGTACAGGAGCACTTATGTTTGCCTGCCTGTTTAAGACCCTTCGCCCTCACTCTTTTGTTAGCAGACCTAGTAGCCGTTCCGGCCTACGTGTGCATGTGGCCGCGTCGGCCAATTCAGCCACACACGTGTCCACCAGGGCACGTGAGAAAGTTGTGGTTTTTAGCATGGCCTTTGTGGCCCATTCAAGGCGGGTGCTCCTTGACAGCGGCGATGTTCTCGGGGGACATTTAGGGATCACTGAGCGTTTTTTCTCTCCGGGGGTCTCAAACATGTGAACCCCTTACAATCGTTCTTCGGGTCCAAATCTCTTTGAGACACACCCAATGTGGATATGTTTTCTGGCTTGGCTTGCCTTCAAGACCAACCAAATGGGGATACCCTCCAAAGAAGACACACCCACATGTAGATTAACCCTCAGGCTCCTTTTGCTTTCCCTATCAACCATACCCAGAAAATGGGGGCGCCCTAAAAAACAAGCCACGGCTCCTTTTGCTTTGCCTTTGAATGACCCAGAAAACGGGGGCGCCCCTAAAAGGAAGACGAGCCCCACACGGGCGCCGGGAAGTTCTTGCGCCAGGTGTCGCTGGAGGACTTCATGGCCGGCTGCCAAAGGCTGAAAGGCCCAGCCAAGAGCCCGGGCCTCGAACCGGAGCTTCGACGCCTCGCTCGCTCGGGGGCCTTTCCGGGTGGGCTTTCCCGTCTGCGCGAAAAAAAGAAGAAAAAAGAAGAACAAAGCAAAAAACACGTGTCGTGTTTTTTGTTGCCCCAAAAAGCATCATACCAAAAAAGGGCGGTGGACTTCTCTTCTTTTCCTGGGTTTCGTTCTGGTTGCTCCTTTGGATATTGCCTCCAAGAAGCCCCCAGAATTGGGGTGGCGCTGGTTTCTGTTGCATGGCTCGTGAGTTGGTGCCCTTGTTTTTCTTGTTTCCCTTGGAACCGGGAGACAACCGTTGCCAGTTTTCCGGAAGCGGACCATTTTGGTGCAGAGGCGGCAGTTTGCATGGCAAATGACGGCTGGATGGGCAAACTGTGGCAGATCACCCGCCAGGTGTGGTCTTGTATGGACCAAATAGGTGAGAAAAGATTGGGCGCGGCTTCAGGTGTCGACCTGGCCTTGCTGCTGGCGCACACGGCGCGGCTGAACTGCAAGGTGGACAAGATGATGGGCTTCGGCGGCGAAGCTGAGGATTTTTTCTTCTCTTTGTTTCTTGGGGGAGGGACCGGGGAAGGACTCGCCTCAAGCAAAAGCCAGGGGGTCGAATTTCCGGCTTCCCAAGCTTGACGAGTCCAGGACTCGGTGGACTGGGGCTACGGCGCCGCTGGCAAGCAGCTGGAACAGCGCTTCGCGAAGCGCATGAGCATGAGGCTGGCGGCCGATCCTGGGGTTGTCATTTGGGGGTTGCCTGCAAATTGGGGGTCCCCCAAAAGCACGCTACACATAAACCGCCAGTCGATTTTGTGTGTGTGTGTGTGTGTGTTTTTTGGAGGGGGGGTCATGTGTTCGGGCGTGAGAGGCATGCCGAAAGATCTGTTGAACCAAACAGGGGTTGGTCCAACTCTTGAGAGATGCTGCCATGGGGTTGCCTTTTCTTCCAGAAGTTGGGATAGCTCATGTTTCAGGAAGCACTCAGATGCCACAACCAGGTTGGAGTTCCACAACTTTCCAGACTTTCAAGCCTTGCCGTGCCTTCGGGTCACAAAAAGGTCCTTGAACTGGGAACTTCTCGGAATTTCATTCAAGGACCCCACCCAGAGGAAATCACCGGTGGTTCTGTTCCATCCGAGCGAGTCAGATTTGACGTGCCAGGAACACCAACAGCTGTGAGTGGGAGAGGGGCGATTTGCCCCAGGTGCAGCAGGCGGGGCCGCGGGCTTGTGACGCGAGTCTTTCCGTTTGGCGTGGGAAGCCGAAGAGGAAGCCGACATTTTTGTTGGGTCCAGTTCGGTCCTGGTTTATTTTGGACAGATTTTTTTAACGCGGGACCGAAACGGGAGAGGCCCGAGGTGGTTCCCGTGGCCTCCTTCGGGAACACATGGGGACTAAGATGGACGGTGGTAAGTGTTGTGTAAGTGCTGGGAAACCAAGGGCAAGTAGCTCTTTAGCTGACTCCCAGGCTATTTGAGTAGTTTTCCTATGCTAGTGGAACCCTAGGAAAGGGTGCCCTCAGAGACACGACTCCCAAGGTTTTTCATGGACATGAGGTGTCCACTCAAAGCTTGTCATGGGTTTGGGGTAGGGTCTAGATTAAAAAGCCCGTGGGAATTCTCATGCCAGGGGAGGACCAAGAGATGGACCGAGTGAGAATGGAGCAACCTACAACGGGCGAAAGACTTGCAGCCGAAAACACCCAAACTATCGATGTCAGTTTTCTTATACCTGGGTATTTCAGGGTAAGAGGATTTGGCCCCCAGTTGCAAGACACGGTGGGGATCATCCAAAGCTGCAAATTCGCTTCGAGAGCCGGCCGCTGAATTCGTCAACTTGTGACTGGCCGTCACCTCCCGTGAATTCATCAATTCATTGCACGGAGTTTTGGAGGCCTCGTGTGCGTCCAAACGACGGGACTGCGAATGCTTGGTGAAACATGGTGTGTGTCGCTGTTTGGATCGCCCAAAAACTAAAGGGTCCCCAGTTTGGCTGTGTGAAGGGGTTCCGTGGTGCATCTTCTCTCCCGACGGGCACATATCCTGACTCGGGGTCTTTTGGACTGCATCTCAGCATCCAGCCTTCGGCCAACTTCTGCAGCTGGAGGCTCTGCAATTCAAACATTTCCAATCTGACTTCCCAGATTGGCTTCGGCTCCTGCGAACGCAGCTGCTCTTCTTTTCCCGATGCCCTCGTTAGAGCCCTGACGTATGGGCTCCTTTATAGGGCGACTCATCAGTTTATATGCTTATTTTCAAACACCGCGCGAGTGTTTGCTGCAGAGCCCACAGTCTGGATAATTGCTTGTGAGCTGCACGCTACGAGGACATATCATTTACAAATTCGTGGTTGATACATAGGAGGGCTGTCCTGTTTGAGAATCGGGGGGAACACCTTACTGATCCGCCAGGTTGATTCATCCGGGGTTGCTGTGGCAATTTTTCGAGAGAGGCCGTAGGCTCTGCAGACTTGGCTCGGCCGCCTTCGACTTGGCTTGGAGGGCCTTAAATGACGAAGAAGACCGCCGGGATGCAGCGTAGGTCAGGTCTTCAAACCCAACAAACGGGTTTGTCTTGTGGGGTAACTCCAAGTGGTCTTTTTGGTGTTCCTCCCAATTGTTCAACATGAGACCGGCAAGGCCTCAAAGTCATGGACTCACTGAAAAAGACCTCATTTGTTGTTGTTCAGAATCGGGAATGATTCCGTTGCCCTGCAGGGAAGACACTTGAAGCCGAGGTCTCCGCCAATGAATGGCTGCAGTATCTGGTGGAGCAGCGCACCAAGAGGGGTCTGCCAGGGTACCATGGATTCCTAACATCTTACCCAAAGGAAACTCCCGTTGAATTGGCAACTAGAAGGTGAGACTTTACAAGAGCCCAGATATAGGGGAAATATGTCGGGAACTCCGAGTGCCAAAGCTCCGCAGCTTTGCAACCCGTTTTCAGACCGGACTCAATGGGTTCGAATTCGAAGGAATGGGAACTCCAATCGCAGGAGAACACATCACGTCAATGTGTATTTGTCCGATTTCGGCACCCATTCTTTTCATCAGCCACCTCAACAAGTGGAGAACCTCAACCAGTGGAGAATTCCAACTGCCCAGCGTGGGCTCCATCTAAATCATATGGCCATTCGTTAGAGCCCATCGCCCCAATCCCCTGTTCCCCTGTTCCCCCAGCCGTTTCACTCGTAGGTGTGGCCAGCGGCCCTCCCAGTCCGCAGAGATGTGGGACGCGGTGCGGGCCAAGAGCCCCATGCAGATCCTGCCGGGCCCTTGGGCCTTTCTTTGGCGAAGTGTTTGACCGACGAGTTTTTGAGGATGTTCCCAGTCCCAAGCTGCAGAATCGAACGTGACAAGGAGTTGACTTATGAGGATCCCCGAAGTTCGCAGAAGGCGTTTTTTGTTTTTGTTTTCGCCGTTCTTTGCGCGGGAAGCTCGGAAGGGCCGTTCATTTGGATTGGTGGTTTCGGGGTCATTTGAACCCAATTCGAAAGCCGAATGGGGAAGCTCCCCCAAGGTCCAAGTCACACCAAGCCAAGCCAAGCCAAACCAAACCACCGGACGGAAGGCGAGCCCTGGCTTCAGGCCTGCCAGGCTTTACAGCCACGAGCAGCGCATACAGCCCGTGTGCAGCCCGGAGGCGCGAAGACACCGGGGGGGGGGGCAGCAGGCGGACGCGGACGTCGCGCGAGCGGCGCGAGCGGTTTGGGGCAAAGAGCTGGAAGCGGTGTTTGGGTTCTAACTTCAACGATAATGTTGGAATGTAGCAAGAATCTCGGCCCAGATTCGCAGTTTTCAGGTCCTCCTTTATTGATTGGATTGGTGGTGGGCTTGGGGGCCTGACCAATTGGGGGTTTCTCATAGAATTCGGGCCATAGTTTGGTGCCCCTTCAAAAGCGGCACCCAAGGGGTGGCCCTGAAAGGTCCTAACTTGTTCTAACTTGGAGAGCTGAAATGGGGTCTGCAACTCAGAAAACAGGACCCCATTGTAGGGTGGCTTCCTTTCGGTTTTTCTTTACCACCCTGTTTTGAGGGTTCTCTCAAAAGAGTTGCGAGGCCAACCCGCTGGGTGCGCTGGAGATGTGGCGGGACCGGGCGCCTTTGCAGCTGCCAGCGCTGCTCAGCGGCGAAACCGAGGAGGCTTCGGCGGGGTCCAACGCCCTGCGCGCGATGTTGACAGACTCCAAGCGGTTGGTATCTTCTTCATTTCGTTTTTTTTGGTAAGGGTACCCTTGGACAACCACATGTGAGGTTCGGTCAACACCCAATCATATTTTTAGGTTGGTAAACCATTGCAAGTTTGGACCAGGATTGGCTTGGCATCGATTTCACACTGACGCCAATCCGTTGAACACCCGCCATAGGTCTTTTTGTCTGTCCCAGCAGGATCGGCATCGCTTCCTCCTTCAGCAGCGGGAGGACTGCCACAAGCATGTCAGTCAAAATTCGAGAGCCGCCGGACCAAGAAATCGGCACTCCCCAAAAAGATGGGACTCCAAAGTGCCTTCTACGACGGCACAGGCACTGCCCCCCGTGCTGGCCCCGGCCAAACGAAAAACGGCGAGGCCGGACAGCATCTGAGCGGCGAGAAGGGCTGTCACAGCCAGGCTGGGCCTTTGAGTTTGGGGTTCACTGGCCCTCTAACAGTTGCAGTGGACACTCTGGCGTCTTTTCAGGAGCAGGGTCCAATCCCTCAGCCTCCATCGTTGGAAAGAGGGTGCACTCCAACGGTTTGTGTCCCAAAGGGGAAAGGTGAGACTTCAAGCCCTCCTTCCAAACGAACCCCTATTCAGCTTGCGAGCTGGGGGCCCATTTTTTTTGGCCGCTGTCTGGTTGGTAAGAGGAATTCAGGCTTTGAGCGGCACATTCCGCCTCAGGCCTCAACTCGAGCAGGCAGTTCGATGGTGAAGTTCTCGGAGTGACACGACTGTCTCGAAGGACGTAGCAGTTGTATTTTCCTGGGGGAGGGAGGGTGAAAAAGGGGGGGTAAATGATACTCTTTCTTTTTTTGGGGGGTGGGGGGGTGGGGCATGGCTTAGCAAGGAATCTGCGGATTCTTTTCCATCACTCAAGATACTGCAGACTCGACTCTGCTTTCGTTCTGAGTCTCGTGTCTCTTGACCGAACGCTTGTCACACTAGAAGCGCAGCGCCCTAGGCTGAGGCCTCGCGTCCAGCAACTGCCATGGCTTTGGAGGCCAGCTGACAGCCGAAACGCAGAGGGGTGGTTGCGTTGCCTACCCCCTGCTCCAAATACCTCTTTTTTCAGGGTATCATGTCGACCCTCTACCAAAAAAGGAGGTATTTACCAAGGAAAGCCAGGGTTTCCCAAAAGTACCTGGAAAAAGAGGGTATTTTGAGTAGGGGGTACTTGGCCTTATGGCCTGGCCTTATGGCCAGGCAACACGGCGTCTGGAGATAGCCCCATGTTTTGTCAAGCGGATCGATGGTTGACGACTTGCACCGCATTCTCGCAGGAACGCAGAAGACCAGGCAGGCGAGTTGACTGCGCGTTTTGGGGGAGCAATTCCAGGATTGTGAAGAGAGGTGGGTCTCCTGCATCTTCAATATGAGTTGACGAAGAGTCGTCGTATCCCGTTCTTTTGAACCATGATGGCGCCAAATAGTTGGTGTCACGCTGGTTGGGAAAACCAAAGCGAGTCTCTGCTTTGAACCAGCCAAAGCGTATTCTTGTATGATCCTGCGGGTTTCTTGTTGGCCACGGGTTCTCAGGTACCGCTCCTTCTCAGGGCCTGCAGAAGAGCCTGCAGATGAAGAAGCGCCAAGAGAAGGCGAGGGTACGGACATGTGAGCCCATTGCTTGGTGCATGTCTTCAAAAGGGAAACATGGGTAACATGGGTTGACAAAATGGACACGGAAAACGGGGAGGGGGAGGGGGGTTCAAAGGCCCCTGTAGAAAGCGTTGCAGAAACACTAAGTCTCCAAAACTCTTGGGGTGGATCCATAAGCCTGCTTGGCTTGAGCCATGGTTCACTGGGCAGAAATCGCACGGGTCCAAAAAAGGGATCGACCAACTTTTTGCGTTCTGCTTCTCAAAGCATCGCGAAGGGTTTTGCGGCTGGATTCTCCTGCACTGGCCTACGCAGAGGACTTGCTGAGAGAAGCTGGTTCAGAAAAAAAATCGAAAGAATCTTGCACAGAGAGGTTGCTCAGAGAGGTTGCTCAGAGGACTTGCTCAGAGGACTTGCTCAGAGGACTTGCTCAGAGAAGTTGCTCAGAGAGGTTGCTCAGAGGACTTGCTCAGAGGACTTGCTCAGAGGACTTGCTCAGAGGACTTGCTCAGAGGACTTGCTCAGAGAAGTTGCTCAGAGGACTTGCTCAGAGAAGTTGCTCAGAGGACTTGCTCAGAGAAGTTGCTCAGAGGACTTGCTCAGAGGACTTGCTCAGAGGACTTGCTCAGAGGACTTGCTCAGAGAAGTTGCTGAGAGGACTTGCTCAGAGAAGTTGCTCAGAGGACTTGCTCAGAGAAGTTGCTCAGAGGACTTGCTCAGAGGACTTGCTCAGAGAGCTTGCTCAGAGGACTTGCTCAGAGAACTTGCTCAGAGGACTTGCTCAGAGGACTTGCTCAGAGAAGTTGCTCAGAGGACTTGCTCAGAGGACTTGCTCAGAGGACTTGCCCAGAGAACTTGCTCAG